GGTTGACCATGCTCGCCGGAAGTCGTCGATACGTTTGCTCGCTAAACGAATCCCTGTTAGAGAGGAGGAACGAACGTCCGCTGACTCGACGTCCACCCTTTGTCACGAATCTCGTGAATATCAGAATTATTTATCGTTTGAAGATTCTTCCGAACTGTTCCACGTTCCCTGTGACGTTTGCCCGGGTATCCAACACCAAAGGATCTGTCCTCTTTCTCTCGCTCCCTTCCTGGTAATCATGTAACTCGATTGAAGAGAACGAGCGAGAACGGGCCAATAAGAGGCTCCCTTTAATCGGGTTACTTCGTTATCGCGTTACTCCGTCACTCGGTGGCGGTGATATCAACGGAATATCAATTGTAGTGATTAACCAAGACGCTCGTCGCGGGTTGAAACTTTGCTTTCCCCGTAGGGACGACGCGACGGTGTAAAGTCTAAAGAGGAACGAAGAGAATTCGGGAATAACATCTTTTGTCGGTGGAAAATTAGCCCTGAGGAATATTCAAATCACCGAGAGTCTCTTCGAGGCATTTCAATCACTTTTCGAAACCCTTGTTTTTCCCGCTGAAAGTTCTCCATCGATTCACCGCCGATCGTGGCACGACAGATTTCTGCCAATTAGCCGAATCGTGAGATTCGAAGTACAATGAATTAGACACGGCCTCGTGATCCGGTAAAATCAGGCCCGAGGCCAGATTATAATAATGCGAGAATCAGCCGGAGCCACCGAGGGTGGTGTCGCGGCAAAAGAGCGCGCGTATCGAGGCGGACACTCGACACAGCTGTCCAGGAAACGTACTTGGCCCATTGTACGGTCTAACCAACCGTAAACGCTGAAAATCTAATTGACGAAATTCAATTTCCCACCGACAATGCCCGGCCCGCGACGGATTATCCTGTGTGCTTTCCAAAAATTACACAGGAATATCGGGTCTTAGAAATTCGACACGGCCAGAGGATCCGACGAGTCGCGTTAATGGCGTTTCACTCCGCTAAGGGTGCTAAGCTGACGAGCACACGTTCGCGGTCCCTGATTTCTAAAAAAAATAGCCTCGCTGAAAATCTTCAAGCTGAATCCACAAAGATCGAACAAAGGGTTAAACAATATCGTTTCACGTTCGTACGAAGCGATTGAAACGTCGAGAGATCGAAGCTCTTTTCAATACCGTGACGAAGCTTTACGATCGTTCGATAAATCCTGCTAATCTTGGCGCACGAATTTCTATCGTGTTTTCGAATTTCCATTAAAATCCTCGAATCACCTTTTCTCCCCTTCGCGGCCCAAAAAGAAGTGAGGATGATGCTGTACGAGGCTGGCTGAATTATCGCAGAATCAAAATAATTCGATAGATAGAGGGGTGCCATGTATTACAAGAGGGGTGACCGTTTCTGCGCGTTGGGGTGCCAAAACATCCGCCGTTCCTCGACGAATTATCGTCGCATGGACCGTCCATCCTCCTTCTTTTTTTAATGAATTACAACGCCAGGAACGTTTAAAACGTAATCTCCTTTTACTCTGTACACTTTTGATCATCGAAAAATGAAATAAATTGTAATTGTTCCGTCGACAGGAGATTCGTCTTTCAAGTGGAAAAAGAATGCCAATACTTTTGCCATCCAGCCGACTCGTATTTATTCATTTGAGCTAATTTTTTGGGCGTGGAACCGCCTATTAGATTGCGCAGTTATGCTTCAGGGCAGATTGACGCTGTGGCTTGGAAAAAGTGATCGAGACAGCTGCTAGATGTTCTGCTTTTTCTTTCGAAATTATCTAATTCATAGAATCGACGTCGGTGACAAAGAGAGAAGAGTATTTAAAAACGCGTAAAGGCAAACGACGCCGTGTCAGAGGGCGTCAGGTGGCCGATTTAAAACGGCACAATGGCTCAATTCGGGATGAAAATCCCCATTCAAATGCGATCTCAATCCCCTCCGTCAAATGGGAGCTAAGTAGCTACTTAGTTGCACATTTGGCTTGAAATTCTCGATGTCCCTGCTGCCGGTTCGAGAGTAGCACCGTCCGCCTGTGGATTCGAGATGCTATCTCGACGATTTGCGATACGAGCGTGTACCTGAACGCGTCACGCTAATCTGCTTCGAATTCAGTCAACCTTATGGCGGCTATTATGTTACATACTCTCGCGGAAGTACGATGCCATCGCTGGCATCTATCTTTTGCTTCGTAATTTCTGTCTAATGATCATGATTCCAGAGGAAAATAGAGGTAAAAAAGAGCTCTTCGTTTCTGGAGTATAATGATTCACCGACGGACAGATAGAATAATTGACTCGCAATCAATTAGTTTGATGCACTTCTTCTACTTCTTATTATTATTATTATTATTGTTGTTGTTAAATCGTTAATTGAGAAGGATAAGATAACCGGTGCGGTGGTTCGAGGGAAAGGCAGACGGAGGCTATTAATGCAATTTCCTATTTAACTAGATTTCCATTCACGGTACACAATTATGAACGATCGGGTAGGAGGGTTGGGCCCGGTTAGCCGATGCCACACTCGACGAGAATAATTAGTTTTAATTGGCCCCTGAGAAACTTATCCCTTCCCCTGTTGACGCATTAAGACCAAAGTTAGACGGGCCACAGGAGGTTTAGGTTTTGCGAAGCGCCAGCAGGTAAGGTATACCACGTACTACGTGACACGCTTGGTAAACCCAAAGCTGGCTTTGTTAAGCTCGGATTCTGAGTGCCTTTGATACGTGTACTTGCACGCTAACTAACCAACCTAAGCTATCCGTGGTGAGCTCGCTCTCGCCTACCTACTCATACACCGTATGTTATACGCCTTTCTGTATCGCTCTAACCAGGGACGTCTAGTTGTTGCCTTAGTATTTTCAAATTTATTAATAAATCTAACCAAGGAGCAAACTTTCATTTTATTTCAGACTCTGTTTTCATTTCTTCTTTTAATTATACGATCCTATCAAATTTCGGGTACCAATCACCACCATACTGATCAATGATAAAATAGATTATTTCTTAATAATCTATACTACTTATGGCAACTTATGTTAACGCACAATGTATCAATTTCTTTGTTTGTTTTAAGATACAATATGTTCGAACGAATTCGTTGGAACCCAGTTTTGCCGACCCTGTCCTTTACCTATGTTACCCTCAGCATCGTCTATACGAGTATGACCTACACGTGCGCGATACATTTCCAACTGGGAATTGAATTTCCTTGGTAATTTTAATGCCATTGCGGCTGAAGGGGTGGAGAGAGGCACCGAGACAGAGGGTAACAAACCCAGCCACAGAGTGTGCATCCCCTAACCACCTCGTAGAGGCGAAATTTAGTTGGAGACGAATACACGATATCCTTGCCATTCCCGCGTGGTTCTCCGCTCGAGATCATTCGAGTGGTTGAAATTTAGACATCGCCAAAAGTATCATCAATTCCTATGATACATTTTCTTTCCTTTTTTTTTTTTCTTTTTTCTTGAATCAATAATCGAACGAAGGTATTTTGAAATTATCTGAGAAAAAGGAAACGAGGTACTCTGATGGAAACAGATACGATACACTTTGATGGAGCTTGATTTCCGGTACTCCAGCAGGATCCGGAAAGCCGCGGGACACAAAGCCAAAGCGCCGTAACCACTTAAGGAAGCTTTAGCCAAAGTTGCAACAGAATCTGCGTCGTAAGCGGATTTTCCCACCTCAAAGTGCCTTCCTGTTATATCTTTATAAATGGAACCACTCGAGGCTCTATGGAAAAGCGACAGTCTCTATTACTCAGAGGATTTGCAACGTTATGCCTTCGTGGTTGCTCGTTCAAGATTTTTTCAGATATCCTCTATATGCAATTGAAAATATTTCGTTTTTAGTAAATGCTTCTAAATAAAAAATCATAATCGTATTAATTTAACTATGGATATAAAATTCTATGAGGTGTAGGATAGATTAAATCGCCTTATTACCAAAGCAATTGCGAATGCATATTAAAAGTAACAACTAGAACTGTAAATTACCACTTTTTCATAATTAAACTGTTCCTCTGATTAGATTATCTATCTCCTTGACGTAATTAATATGTTGTAACTATCATTAAGTAGTTAATTTAATGTGCCGTGAATATAATCCAACGTGCTCTTGGAAAATAGTGCTGTTCGTGTTATCTAATGGTCAATGAATAAGATAAGAAATGTACAGTGCAAGCATAAGATCGAATAATAATTATTAAAATAGTTGTTTCGCAAACTTGTATTCTCCTAAGACCGCCATAAATTAAATATTTTTTGAAATTCGACTTCAACGCCCTCTATACAAAAACGGCTGAAACTACTCGACAACTTACCGACCTGGTTTTCAAAAGTTGTACGGTAACTTATCGACTGTGGTCGGTAAGTTGGCAACTCATTTGGGGGTGTCTGAAACCCCGCGGGAAAAAAGACGCGTCCAGTCTTTTTTTATCTGTAGCACCGAATGCAATGTTAGTCTCAACCAATACAGAAGGAAACTCTATAATCCTGAGGGATAGAGCGACAGAAAAATGCTTTAGATAAATTGGTCTATCCCGTATCTTGTCCGTGGTTGTATACAAAGAAGATCGATATCAGCATGGCGGTAAAGGAGCGGCTCTATTCATTGTGATTGAAAATCAAGATTATTATGGCTCAGATCTTATATTACATAACAGGAAAGTGCATTTCCGTCGAAGTGCATTTTTCACGACGCTCAGTATTATCTTGAGCGACGGTAAGAACATAGCAAAAAATCGGCGTTATAACGAACGAAAAAACGAAAGGAACACAAGTTGACAACTGACAATTGGAATTGAAGTCTCAGCCTCGATATACTGAATCGTAAACAGTCACCATGGCAAAGTACGATCATATTGCGTAACCTTAGCCTTATCTAATTATAGCAGCATAGAAAGTGCATCTTTAATTTAACGATAATGCTTTGTTTACTATACCACGCTGCATACTGTTACTCTATCGTTGTTACACTTGTTTCACCGCTTCCTTTTTCGCCGGCATGTCTCTCTTTAAATCATTAATTTTTATTAAAGAAAATGCTGATTTTAAGTTGGTGTGAGTTTAACGTTACATATATGTGTAATTAACTAATTTATGTTCACCTATAATTTAATCCACCTGTTTTATATTTTGAGTAGAATAGTATTTGTGTCCTATCAGTTCAAGTAATGTTAATATTTTATTTTCAAATGTTATGTAGCATTTATATTAGTTCATGCATGTACATATTTACAATATAACTATTTTGTAGTACATATGTTATATTAATATTTGGTAATCTAGAGTATTTAATTAGTTTCCAACTTCTTCACATATGCCTAAATAATGTACACAATTTATATAAGTATAAATAAAATACTATCAAAGTGTAACATAAATTTTGTCAAAGCAAAAAATTCCTTCTTATATTACTTACTATATTATCTGCTTTTTAAAATAAAAGGAAATATAATTTGTAAGATTAGACCAACTGAAATCTATATTTAATCATTGATCACTGATTAAATCAGCAATGGCAAACTGGAAGAACCTGTTACCTTAATCATAGTATTATGTATTCTTAGAATGAATGTATACACAACAAATCCTAATGTAATAACAAAATGGTTATAGAAGGTGGGTTCTAAACTGTAATCTTATCTTATTTATTTTGTTATCGGTTAGTAGTGCAGCTAATCAGTAATTTCTTCTTCACAAATTGTTTACTTCATAGACTTGTTCGTATATCAGAATCAAAGCAGGTTACAGACATTAATATGTCTGTTATTTTCTAAAAATGAACATTGATAAACTTTCACAATTGTGCATAAAACATTTTTCTCAATTATTTCTGGGTAAGCTATTTCATTAATTAGTAAAAGATGTCTTATTTTATTTCCTATGGATACTATGTTATGTAATTACTCCTTAAATATTTATATAAATAAATAAAGTATGCAATTAGTAAGTTACATTATTTCTGAATTTTTGTTTGTTTTTTAGAGAAATGATGATAGTATTTGTCTATGACACTGCAAGGTGTTGTAAAGAAGATGATGATCCTGCAGAAGCAGTTATGTACTTCCATCCAGCATGGGTATCTCTTACCCAAAGGCTAGCCCTAGCAGGTCAATTGATGGCTGTTAATCAATTTCTTACTACTTCATTTTTTGCCCCAAAATCAATTACATTACAGGGAGGAAAATTTGTACTGAAGAAATTTGGACAGTACATACTTGTAAGTATATTATTATAATTATCTGAAACTATTGGCTTTCAATAAATATAACTTCCATTGAGTAATCTCCAAATATACAATGCAAAATGTACTATATGTATAGTGTAATTTGATAGTAGTGGTTATCTACTAAAGCTGTTACAATTATCAGTGAATAATACTCCGAATGAATGAAATACGGTATCTTTCTCATTGCTTAATGTATCATTTGTTAGCATGAAATAATATTTAGCACATATATTTCATTGTTTATTACTTTGTAGGCAGTAGGAACTGATAGGAATATTCATGATTGGGTTCTAGAAAGGCGTGCAAACACTCTGGAATCATTGCTACAATTTTTTCATTGTGATCTTAATAAAATATTAGAATCATTTAATAATGACAGAAATAAATTTACAGAAAAGTTATATCAAATGTTTGAAACATATTTGCCAATTCTTCAATATAGTGCCAATCTTTTTTCTAACATTCCCATCATTAAACTTCCAAAGGTAAGTAAACTGTAGTATTAATTTTATTCTTATTTCATTGATTATACTGCTTTTTATATCACAAACTAATTTTATATTTTTTCTCAGAGTGCTAGTAATATATTTTTAGAGGCAATTCAAGTATTGCAATATTGTCAAGAGACTAATGGTATTATTGGTGGTGCACTCTTCTATAACAATAAGTAAGTTATATAAAATGTTAATCATTTAAAAATTAGTCATTTTCTTTTAATTCTGGAAACCTTAATGTGTCAACATTTTAGGGTAGTTGCTACTCAATTGAGTCCTGATTTGACCAAACAAATTGTTATAACCGATCCGTATAGAATAAAGGTACATGGCACTTATATAATATAAAAAAGTTTTCTTTAATTATTTGTATCTCATATAAAAATTTGGTTCTTAGGCACCTGCAGAGAGAATATTAACAGAATTTCACTTACCTGTTGGGGTGCAATTAATGAGAGTGTATGTTGAACAGAAACAATTCACAAAACTTTTACAAGAAGCAAATAATGAACGATATTACAGTTCTTATCTGGATTCCGCTTCAAAGAAAATCTTACAAAGAAAGGTAAGCAAGTATTAAAATTAAATTACAATAATCAAGTAATAATAAAACGATTAAATTGTTTAGACTATGTCCAAAAATGCTAAGGAATTACCTTTGTCCGGGATGAAACGTGACACTTCTCGTATTTTTACCGTACCTGAAGAAGCAGAATTAGATTCGTCACAGTATAACGATAATAACCATTATGTACCTTCCGTTCCACTTACAACTTACAATTCTCCGGTTAAACGCAAACAGGAAAGTAAATCAGACCGTCCTAAGTGTGCAAATCCTTTAACACCAAGCGTTTGTTCTACACCTTTAAAAGATATTAATAGAGTATTACACGGTAATGCGATGCTGATATGTAATACAAACGAAGAGACAAACGGTGAAACAGAAGATGAAAAGAAAGAAGTAAGGACAAATGTTGATGATATTCCAGACGTTGTTAAGGAAGCCCTTAGATGTAAACGTTTAAATAAATTACGAAACGAAACAGCAAAAGAGAAATTATTGAAAAGGAAAGAATTCAATAAAAAGAGTTTAAGTATGCATGATTTAGAAACATCTACAAGTTTCTACTCTAATCGTATATCAGTTAGGACATACGGTTTAGGCTTACCACAAACGAAAACTAGTGTGTCCCCTGAATCTTCCCCCCGAAAGAAACCTTTGTATAAAAAACAGTTTCATACGATTACCGATCCTTGTTATCCTGTATTTCGATGCGATGGATTACCAGTATCTCAATCTCTATACGAGCAATACATATCTTCACATTATGAAGAACTTAAAGATGATCAAAACTATTTAGTGAATCATAATGACTTTTTAGCGAGTATAACGAAAGATAGTAACGCGAAGAATATAACGAACAACTGTGATACGATAACTAGTGATAATTCTGAAAATCCAGGTAATTCTCATGATGTTAAATTAAGTAATAAAACGAAACAGGAAACTTATCGTAGATCGATGAGTCTTCCTTTGAAACCACTCAATGTTACTGACAACGATGATAGACGAAAATCAACATCAGAATGTGGTAATTCGTACGACTTCCTTCAGAAGAAAAAATTAGACGGTTTACAGTTAACACCACTTATGTCCAAACTTAGTTTACTTGCTGATGAGAAAACTAGCGGTTTTTGTAGTAGAGAAACTACTCCTAGCGAGTTTCGTGATCTGTCTGGATTTTCAACAACAAATCAATTGATCAAGCAAAAATTAGAAGCAGTCAATAAAGAAACTGGTAGTGAAGGAGATGATGAACTCGAAGAAGATTGGATGACCACCTCTAAAAATGAAGTTTGTCTTGAGAAAACAGAATTATTTCTTTGTGGACATCAAAACATGGTATTAGTATTGTTAATGGAAAATGGAACTGCCAATAACCCTGATCTTATACACTTTCTTGTAAGTATATTTTATGTTTTAATGCATTTATGAATAATAATTATTTTAATGTAATAATATGTATTACAGTGGCAAACTTGTGTAAGTACGTTAGGAAAACTTGAAGCAAGATTGCAGCAATGTCTAGAACCTATGCCATCGAATGAAAATAAAGAATTATATAGTATTTTAAGCATCGATCCCCAATGGGATACGATACATCGTTCTGGACTTTGGGGTGTCACTGAGTTGGACATTGTTTCTTGTCTTCATGATAGATTCAAGCATGCTAGTAACCTCACGGATATCATTGTCAGGTAATTCTATAGACATTAGATGACTCATTTAAATCAATTTAATTTTGCATATGACAGCTTTCATTTATTTTAGTAGACCTATTTATATTCTTTTGCCTAATGTTTGATATTTTAAAACTTGATCAAATTATAAGAGAATGCAATGTAGTTTTACTCTCTCTTTGTTACATACTTATTATTAACTATTTATTTGTTTACAAAGTTTTAACTTTACCAAATATTGTTTATATTAATGCTTCAATACGAGTATATTTTATTAATTAATTAGAACGGAAGATACTGTTGTTTATGGTAACCAGTGCGGAAACATAGAGGTATTTTATCAACAAGCGGTGGCTCCAAATACCTCTGGAGGACTTCCGACTCCTGCAGATTTAATGGGAATTGTATCTCTTAAAGCAAAACGTAGACTAGAAAGAGATCACGGGATTGTATTATTATAAATTACAATTGTCTACAAATATCTACATAACAATATCATTCCAAATTAATTTATTTCATTTAATATTGTGTTTATTGTACACTATGGCATGCCAAATTAATGATATGATACATCACATTTTGTACATATTTTTTGCGTATAGTAATAGGTGAATTTTTCGAATTCATTACTTAATAATTATAGGAACATTCTCTTTAAAATGGTATTCAAAACGAGAACGAATTCCTGCATTTAGTAATTAGCATGTAACAGTAGTTGAATTTTTATTACTATAGTGATAACTTTCAAATAATCGTGCATAGATATCATGTATACATTCTAATGTATATATAGATAGTATCATATTTATTTAAAATGTCCACATCATGAGTAAGAAACGATAAGTTCAAATTTTCATATCTTTGCAAAAACTAAAATAATAACCAACAATCTATTAATTTAATCAACTAATATCACAAAAATGAATCGCGACATGTCGATAGTAAAAGTATTGTCGAATATTCTACGCATATTTTTGTAACGAAGAAGACACCCTACTCGGTATAATAATTTAAGAATTGGCTGTAATCAAAAAGATTTACATGTACCAACCATACATAATAAAACTGGTATTAAGGCATTTCTATTTTCTTGTCTATAGAAAAGTGTATTTTAATATGAAATGTTACGCGTTTTACTAAATGCATTACTTAAAAGGTTCATATTAATTATTGGCAATATCACTATCATATAAAAATAATATCAAAAATTCTTAGTTAACTCGCTGAATGCAAATTATATATTTTACTCTTAGATTGTTTATAATAGAAACAAGTGATTTTTATTATGTATGGTTTCAAAGTAATGCAATACCTAAAGTTGCAATAGAATAGCATGATGTGACAATGCTTTTTCAATTCTAAGCTTTAGATGTCTTAGAAAAAATAAACAACATTATAGTATTGTACTACTACGTCCAAATTAAGTGATATTTAGCATTAATTAAATAATTTATTTATGTATTTAAGATTGTGTTATTATCAGTAAAAATTCGTATAACGAATAGGTGTAATGATTGTTAAGTATTGTTTAACTTTCTAATAATTCAGTGTTATATAAATGTGGATTTATATTTTATGTATTAAAAATGCATAATTTCTAATCTATGATATCACTGAGTATACATTTCAATCATCTAATCTAGTCATCTAACATGTTACCAGAAACATTATTTCTGTAGCAAAATTAAACTCAATCTAACAGATTAAAATGTTTCATTCAATTGAAAACAATCCAAACCGAAGGGAAATCATAGATATTTATCCACGTGTAGTACAAGTCATAATTAAACTTTTTAAAAATCTTATTTACGTGAAATATAAATAATGTATAACTTAAGTATATTAACTAGAGATCCTGCAGTCGTTGTGCCGTTTTTCTTTCTTGACCTCGATGATGATGAAAATCAATCGGGACGAGCCTCCTGCTTCTGCCAGTTTGTTAATATGTTTATATCACGCAGAGCACACGTTTCATTTCACGAGCTATTTACATTAAAAACCCGTCTATTAAACAAGAATCACGCGGTGACGCACGGCCAATCGTGTTTTATTATTCAAAATGATAAGCCCCGATCAATGGAAAGTTTACCAGGAACAGGACATTCTAAACTGCTTTTCTGAACTTAGTCTTCTGCATACATTTAATATGAAATAAATATTGCAGAACCTTTGATTTTTTGTAATCCAATGTAAAATTAATATCTTGTTTTGTTGATTATTATAAAGCTAAATAAAGCTAAAATTTACTTGTCTTTTCCTGCAATTGAAAAAACATTTTATGGGTAAACAACATTTATCCATATGAATTCATTGCATCAATAATTTTAAAGCATCAGAATACAGTTCTTCATCTCAGATACATTTACCTAGAAGTATTTTTATTACAAATGTATTTAAAATTAAGTTATTAATGTTGCAATCTGTATCTTTAATAAATAACAAACTAAATGAAATATCTGATTGTTTCATAGAAGAGACCTCACTGTTTAATAAGAAGAAAAGGTAAACTTTTAATAATCAATCTACTAAAGTTTGATTAAAGAAATGACCTTAGTATGTGGTAATTTCAGAGACGAGCCCACAATCGGGAGAAGATCAAATGATCGCGTCGTAGCAGCCCTGAGAAACCTGCTCGCTAAAAATGATAATATTATACAGCTGATTTGCGTTTCACAATTCTAGAAGAATGTGATAGAAAACAAGCCTCCACGATCAACCAATCACTGATCAGGATATGGATAGTTAATTTTGATGCGCGGATATTTAAGCGAGACGCACCTGAGATTATGAATCATTAAAAAACAGATCTTTGACTAACTGCACTTTGGTTTTCGTGGATATCCAACATGGTAAGGAAACGATAATTTGTTGTTAAACTTGGAATTATTATTTCATTCAGTAAATTGTTATATTTCCTTTCAGACCACATATACGGATAAAGGACCAAAGGTAAATAGACTACATAATTATAAATCCAATAGTATCTCACTGAACATATTTCTCATTAATGTGACTTTGGATTTTTAGCCCTTGGGTGGAAAGTTTCTATGCTTTGATCACATTAAATTCTGGGTTGGAAATGCAAAGCAGGTAATTTATTGATTATTGATTATTACTAATCATCTGATAACACCTGTTTGATTATACAAGTAGCTAAATATTTCAAGAGGTATTTATCGTTTTAGGCTGCCAGTTTTTATTGCACTAGACTAGGTTTTGAACCTTATGGCTATCGTGGTTTAGAAACTGGTTCAAGACAAATTGCAGGTCATGTTGTGAAACAAAATCAGGTACACTAAAAGTCATAGGTTTCGTATTAGTTAATATTATAATTTAATCATGTATAAAATGATGTATAAAAAAGTACTTTATTTAATGAATATATCATTTACAGATTATTTTTGTATTTGAATCAGCTTATGAACCTGATAACAAAGAGATGGCAAGTCATCTCTCCAGACACGGTGATGGTGTCCGTGATATTGCCCTCAACGTTGAGGATATAGAGACCATTGTAAAAGTATGTAAAACAAAGAAACAAATTTATATAGCTAAAGAATATAACAATTATATATTTTACAGATCGCAAAAGAGAAAGGAGCAAAAGTAATTAAAGATATATGGGAAGAAAGGGACGAGAATGGTACTGTAAAATTAGCTACAATAAAAACTGTAAGTATACTGTACAAAGAGAATACATAAATATAAATAATTTTAATAAATATTATGCTTTATTTACTAGTACGGAGATACCTATCATACCCTCATAGACAGATCGAAGTACAAAGGATTTTTCCTGCCAGGATATCAAAAACTAGAGAAAGATACGCTTCTCAAGAATTTGTATGTAAAACACTTGAAGTAAATTATACTCGTGAACGAGTACTTAATAATTTTATCATTTTTAGACCAAAAGTTGGATTAAATTTTGTGGATCATATTGTTGGTAATCAACCTGACAAAGAAATGGAACCCGTCGCAAAATGGTATATAAAGTGATGGAAGATTTGAAAAACTGAGGAAGGTGGACGCTATTTGCATAAAAACTTGTCTGATTTTAGGTATGAACGATGTTTACAGTTTCACCGATTCTGGTCGGTAGATGATACTCAATTGCATACTGAATATTCTGCCCTACGGTCTATCGTTATGACAAATTGGGAAGAGACAGTGAAAATGCCTATCAATGAGCCTGCTCCTGGCAAAAAGCGATCTCAAATACAGGAATATGTTGAATACTATGGAGGAGCAGGAGTGCAACATATTGCTCTTAATACAAATGATATAATCACAGCTGTAAATTACATTCTTAATAACATTCTCATCGATCTGTAAACGAAACGGATTTTTGATGCTATGAAATGTGTTCATTTTTCAGATAGAAAATCTACGAGCCAGAGGTGTGGAATTCCTGAATGTACCGGATACTTATTACGACATGTTAAGAAATCGTTTGAAGAACAGTGGTGTAAAAATTTTAGAAGATCTTAATATACTTCAGGCAAGAAGATTAAAAATGAAACACACGTAAAATAACATTAATAAAAACTTATAATTATTACTGAACTTTTCAATATTACGCTTTTAGAAATTGAAAATTTTAATTGACTACGATGAGAATGGATATCTTTTACAAATATTTACTAAAAACATGCAAGATCGACCGACTCTTTTCATAGAAGTTATTCAAAGGCACAATCACAATGTAAGTATTATAACTAGTAATATAAAATTAAAGTATGTATTTTTATTATAATTTAAAACTTATTAATAATCGTTCAAAATTAAGCCTATTAAAAATATATTGACTTTATTTATTTCTGTTATAGGGATTTGGAGCTGGAAATTTCCAAGCACTGTTTGAAGCTATTGAAATGGAACAAGCTAAACGCGGCAACTTATAAATTATAACTAGATAATCACTTTAAGACTACATAGAATTATGCATATTTATTGCATTTAATAATTTTATGTAATAATTTTAATGTTGAACTATTTTCTATTACTTTCAATTTATATTAAAAATCTTATTGCTTACTGCAAAATGGAAGCTAACATCACAATATTATTTTTAGATGTTGTATTTAGTGGCCAGCATCTATTTTACAAAAATACATACAGCATGAAGAGAAAATATGTAATAACACAATTCGAAGCACGATAGTCGACCATCAAAATCAAAGATTACATAACATGTTATTTCGGTATAATATCGTAATCATGTAATCAACAACAGGCGTATTTAAAAGAATGAGGAAAGCAAGGCAATTATTAAACTGTTTATTTTTAATGCTCTCCTGTTTCTTATTTTGTGGCCAAGATATAAGCGGATATTTGTTTCTTTTTATATAAAAATTGCAATATCTAGAAAAAATGGAATAATATGTGATTGACAAAGGATATTAAGGAAAAAGTAGCTCACTTATTTCAATCTCTGGGGAGTCCATGGTTCAGATTTTTGTCTGCTATTAACCATGGTGAACTTGCAGACAATTTTCCTTCACGCGCTATCATGAATGCCTAGGCGGAAAATGTCGTGTTGGCAAAAGAATGAATTCCCCAGTGGCTTCAGCACAAAAATCTGTGAGAAGGCATGTGGTGGATCTTCATCTGCCTGTAACAGATTGAACAGATACGTTATTAGAATAAATATTATGAAGGTAAATATATTTAAAAATATTCAATTTGTACACCCTGCATAAAATGAACTTCATATGCAGCAGTTAAACCAAATTGATTGTATGTAAAAATATATAAATATAAGGTAGATTGTAGTGGACTGTAATCAATTATTTTATTAACAGTCATGCAAAAATTATACAAATGCTGTCTGAGATATAAAAAACATAACAAGTAAAATGTATGTTATACAGGATAAACTTACCAAGTTATAAAATTTAATCCAAAAATCTCATGTTTCAAGTTTATATACAATTATAATAAACTTGTCTATTACATGTATAAGATAAATATATCAGAGTACTTTAGTACTTTATATCATAAAAAGATTAAACTATCAATATATTACACATATTAAACTTTTGTAGAAACAAATTAAAATAATTAATTTCATTCCAGTCAGTTCAGCAATTTAAGATTTTGTTCTGCATAATAAGCAGTACACTGAGTTATGATTAATCAAACCCTTAATAAATACATATGATTAATGATATGTAAACACTTAATTAGATATGGGTAATTTCTTAAGACAAAAGAGACATTTGGGTGCAACATTTATTATTGACTGGTGCAAGAAGTTTCTTTTCAGAAACAAATTATAGCATACAAAAAAGCAATATTCCCAAAAATACATATTTAAATTAAAGTTAATAACAAACAGGCATACTAGCAAATATCAAGCAATTTCAGAGACTAAAAATTAGAATTTAGCTTGCCTGTACCATGGTACGAAGACCAATGGAATATCAATACCTGACGCCTAAACGGTGTCGTGCAGAGCAAGTCTGAAGATGTCATGCTGCACGTAAAAGCTGGTGCCGATTGGCTTCAGGACAAATGTCTGGATGTATGCATGAGGCTGATCCTCATCAGTCTGCCCAATCATCAACAATCACTGACTCAATTTTCTTATTTCATCTTCTTTGCGGAGGTATATAGAGAGATTGTTGCTGGACATTAGTCATAGCTCAATCTCTATCTTCATATGGCAGCACAAAAAATGTAAGGCAGTACAGTACACATTTGTGTATCATGTCCAGCCAATAAAATATAATATATGGACAAACATAATGTACAACAATGTAACAAACAATTTAACCAAGAAATACTGAAGCCAAAATTTCATTTTGCTTTAAGAATACATTAACAGGGCAACAGCATCATATAAAATTAAATTACTGAACTAATTGGAACAAGAATTTTGAACACATCAAAAGATACAGCATTTCAGTTGTATTAAATTCTTACTATGTATATATGCCTTAAGTTTTTATATACTTCTGTATGAATACATTTATTCATTCATATTACAACTATAATATAGAAAAACTATTTTCCTTACCTGCAACCTTCCTAAAACATTAATGAGTACTCCACCATCAAACATTGGTTGTGAATCAATAGCAGTTATTATCCGATTAATTTTTTGAAACGTTAAACTCTGAAAGTTAAAAATTGAAATTTAATAATTAAGACTGACTATTAACATTCATTTATGTATACAACATAAATCTTAACCTAAACAATACTTTTTAAAAAGGAATTATAGCTGCTATATTATAAAAGTAATACATATTTTCTTATTTATCACAGGTACTTACACTTAATTTTTCCATTATTTTAATAGCACCCTGTATTTGTAAACCTTCAAACGTCATGAAAGATGACTCGGTCTGTAAACGTAATAGTGAATGAATATGCAAAACACAGTCCTCACAGTAAATAAGCACAACTTCGAACATTAGAAACTTACATTATACATATTTATTAAACTTGGTCTTTGAGCAGGGTCGTCAAACAGCGCATAATACTGCTGCACGAAACCCTTCCCAATAACTTCATACTGAGGGTTTAATGCCATTACGCTAACTTATTATGATAACACCCACTATTCGATATTAATGATATCAGTCTTTTTTAATGATCTAAGCGTTCGACACTTTTGTTCTTAGAAAAAATTTTGCAATAAGAGTAAAATAATGCCTCTTAACATCCCTCGTGTGAGACACAAGCGAGCAGGAAGCTACTTATGCCGACCATTTCGATATATCGACGATATCGTTGGGACTATTCTCGAACTCTCGAAAAGTTTGGATGTTTGACAACAATTGTGCACACTTTTCTGGGAACAAGTTATTACTCATTCGCAAATTGAATTTTTAAAAATGTAAAAAATTATTTCTCTCTTGTTTCTTAAACTACAGAACACAGTTTTTAAGAAAAAAATAATGTTTCTGTTTTCTTTTAGTAACAGCTGAGGTAGCTTTGATTGAAATTCTCTGTGAAAAACAATTTCGTCAAACTTCATTCGAATTGTAACTTATTATTCGTTCAACGAAAGACCATATTTCTATTGCGCATCTTGGCTAACTTCAGTAGACTTAATGCTGTCCCATTACCATACAATTTCTATTCCAACGATCATACATAAGGTGAATAAAAATGTTCGAATAGAGGAAAAAAGCAAAGATTTAATAGTAATTCTAAATAAAGGACCACTGGAATCCTTGCACAGCTAAGCATATTTGAACTAACCAGGGTAACATGCGCAGAACGAATAATAACTGTCGTATGCCGGATGTTTAATAGCACGACATCTGTACTTTGTATGTTACACTGATTTAAAAGTTAGGTTAACTTCCTTTTTTCCGGTCCGAAAAACCGTGAGGTGTGTGTGGTGCTTGTCACTTTAAAAAGTAATCGAAAAACATCGGAAAATCGAGGCATAATTCCTTTATACACATACTATTCCTTGAAATTATATTTATTCTGATAATTTTTATGTATTAATCGTTCTTCCTTTCTATAAGTTTTAAAATAAATCTATTAAATATTTTAATAAATAATTTGTTTGTTTGTATTAAATCAGATTTGTAATTAAATTAATTATTTGAATTTAATGCGTTTGTAATAATGATACTTTTACACAATTTTTATTGTTAATTTTAAAAATGATCATAATAGAGGTTATGTGATGCTTTTGGATACAGTGTTTACAACTATCAATTGATGTGTTATATCTTCCTAAAATGAATAATGTATCACTTGAAATAAATTTTTAATTATAAATGTTTGTAACAAGTGATACATTCATCATTTTTTGTATTAATATGATATTTTGTCATTTTTATGTATGTAGCACTCACCTTCAAGATGGTGAAGATTATGAAACAGGGAAAAGTCGTATTGGTCCTTAGTGGCCGATACGCTGGGAGAAAAGCCGTTGTAGTACGTAATTATGATGATGGTACTACAGAAAAGCAATATGGACATGCCATGGTTGCAGGCATTGACCGATACCCACGCAAAGTGCATAAAAGAATGGGTAAAGCAAAGATTCATAAACGTTCCAAGATCAAGCCATTTGTGAAAGTAAGTCTCCTCTAATCTATTTAAAATATTCAACCAAATAGCATATTGAATGAATATTATAGATTAAATGCATTTCAGGTTCTGAATTATAATCACTTAATGCCAACAAGATACACTGTAGATCTGCATTGGGATAAAGTAACTCCTAAAGATCTTAAAGACCCAATGAAACGCAAAAAGGTTCGATTTCAGACGAGAGTTAAATTTGAGGAAAAGTACGTATATTTTTATTAATTTTAATACTTTCAAAAATAAAATGATTGAATAAAATAAATATATGTTTATAGGTACAAATCTGGTAAAAACAAATGGTTTTTCCAAAAGTTACGGTTCTAATTACAAATAAATAAATATAAAATATACAAGTATTTTAAGTGTAATGTTTCCTACTCATTCTCCTGTGTTAAAATGAAACCATCTTTAATTTGGTAAGCATTTGATTTATTTGTAGTATTTAAAATACAAGGATAATTCATTTATGTTGCTTGAAAAATTATATTTAACAATCAAAATAACTTAATGAAATTATAATAGGGGTTTTAAAAATGCAGTACATGATGAGGTCAATAATTCAAAGATACATTTAAAAAATATTAGTAAATTGTGTATAATTTAATTAATAATAAATATATACTTTTAGAGTTGAAGTATCATAATCTGCAATGAATTTTTGTTATACCATTTTATAAATTATCACTTACTAAGTTTTTTAATACGTTCATCTAAAGATTCTATATTATTTCTTATGACCTCTAAATTTGATGCGAAACTATCTTGCACTCCTTTTAAGAGAGATTTATTACTTTCCAAATCAGCGGTAATTTGCGATTGCAATTCTTCTAAACGCGTTAAAGACTTACTAAAAGTAGCAGCTGAAAATTATAATAAAAAGATGGTTATATATTATGTCATTAGGAAATAAAAAAGAATGTATAACCAGTTGTATGAATACACACCCTGTTGGTGAATAGTGTTCAAAGCCAACATCCGGTTTACAGTTTGTGGTAAAATTTGCGATACAGTTTCCGTCTGTTTCATTATATCATACATTTCGGAAATCTGTAAGCGGTTTTAAAATATAATTTAAGTATACATATATTAATTCCTGTATTGAGCAAGTCGAATTGTATAATTAACATAAAAGAAAAATCCAATTTACTTTCTGTTCCTGTTCTGAATCTAGAGCCAATGCAACCTTTTTTTGTTGAATATTATCCATTTTATGAATTAAAGTAGCTAATCTGCTTTCAATGATATCTAATTGATACATATCTAATAATGCAGCTTTTGCTCCTAGTTCTTGTACAGCTTCCATTACACCTTGACATTTGAGATTCTGTAAAAAAATGTATTAGTCATTATAGAGAATTAATGTAACAACAGAAGAAACGATTATATTATACCTGCGAAAATTTAGAAAGTTTATCAGTAGTTGTTCCAATAACACTTTCCAAGTTACAAAGTCTTTGTTCAAGTAATGCAATTCTAGCTGCTTCTTGCATTCTTGCTTTCTCTGGCAGATACATCATTTGATACTTAAGTACACCAGGTTCAGCTGTTTTATCAGTTTTTGTTGTGCTCTGTTCTTTTACATCAGGTTGAGAAACAGGAATATTGGTTTGTTTGAATGCTTCTATTTGGGATATTAACTGCCTGAAAATGAATCATATCATTTAGAATACTTTATTTTAAAAGTAATATACAATACAGACTTACTTGAGTCTGGTGCCCTGAGGATCTGATAATGTTGCAATCAGATCAGCTCCAAGACATTCTTCTAATTTTAAAGAATCTAACTGTTTTTCTAGAAGCTGTACTTGAGAAATTACATCAATTACTGATTTTGCATCTTCATCTTTTGCTTTTTCCTATTTCATAATAGAAACATGTATTACTTCAGACATAAATATCAAAAAATAAAATATACTTCAAATATAAGATGTTAACAGATACCTTTAAGTCATTGACCTCTTCATATAATTCTTTAATCTCACATTGCAAACGTTGATATTTTTGAATCGGTGTTTCCTTCTCCCCCTCTCCAGGAAGTTCCCAATCCCCAATTCTGAAATTTTGAATATAATTTAACAGGTGTACGTCATATTTCAAATTTATGTATAAAAGAGATTTACTTATATCCTGTCCTTGGTTTAAGCGATATACGATCTGAAAAATCAATTCCCTTGCCAAGAATATTTTTACCTTTAAATTTGTTAAATGCTTCTGGGGCACTAATATGTAATTTTGTTATAGAATCAACTTCATCCTAAAAATCAAGATACTAATGTCACTGAGATGATACATATATATGAAACTAATTCTAAATAATATATTAATATTTTACCTCTGGATAAATTTGAAATTGTTCAGATTCTGGTAAATCAGTTGTCTCATACACATCAACTTGATCATATGCCTATTTACACAAACAAGACACCATAAATTATAAGGAAAATGGATAAATGCATATATACATAAGACATGTAATTCAACAAATAGATGTATATCAAACTTAATAAAAGATGTTAAATATAGATTTGTTTCCCATCTGAAGTAAGTAACAATCAAATTATATCAATATAATTTTAATATAATATTCCTTATATAAAATATATAAGTACTTACAATTCCAGGCAAATCAGCATACTTGGGATCAGCCATTTTCTGTGTTAAATTAATACGTATTACCAATATTTAAATTATTTTGCACAATATAACAATCTTTATGCTTTAACAATAAATAATAATAGAAGGATTTGTTCAAAGTATCAAAATTTTGACTAGATGTAACAGATTGCCATTGAATGTTCAATTTAATGTCCTCCTTTCTCTTTCTACTACTTTCATGACATCTTTCCATGATTGTCTGTACTATATCAAATAGCGGTAATTTCAAGCAATAAAAATTAAATACAAAAAATAATAATATAAAAAGAAACATTTCTGACAGTTGCATCCTATTGGTTGTACAATTAGAAAATATAGCACATGATGACAAAGAAGGGGGATACACATAATCAATATTATATTTCAAATGGTATTGTTACACATTTTTTTATTTAATCATACAAAATGGTATATGAAAACCCAAGCTAAGCAAGTTTTTATAATAATTTAATTTAAATACAAATATCACTTTGATGAAAATAGACGATGAAAGTAGTTACAAACATTACAATTCTTCATGAGTAACAGATGATGATCTTTCTGGAGGAAAGCCCCAAAAGAATGTAGGATATCCTTTAATCTCCCTTTCTCTAGTAACGAAAGCCGAGAAAGAAGAAATACAATTACCTATGAAATAATTTGCTCTTCCAAGAATAGCTAAATCTAAATGAGGTGATGCAGACTGATCTTGTTTAAATACTGGTACCTGTACAAAATATATATTTACGAAATTTTTTTTAAGCATATTTCCTGTAAATATTATGAAATACATTAGTTAACTTCTTACTTCCATGCGCGCCAGAGCTTTAGTAAGTTCTTCAATCATATAATTATTATCGGATGCTACGAATACTGATTTAATGTCATTGCCATTACGTATAATACGTTTTAAATGACGTACTATCAAATCAAATGGTGGTAAACACATAGCGGAAGTTGCTTTCCCACGTTCGTTTCGATAACCAAGACATTGAGGCGCAGCAAAAAGATTTGGTGTGCTTGATATAAACTCACAAGCACGTACCTATAAAAAAAAACGTATTATTGTCTTGATATCATCTATTTTCATCTAAAATATGTGAATAATGTAACAATAAATACCCAATCAATTCCATTACGCAAATGAATTCCTACAAATGCTCCTCTAGGTAATTTTTGTTTTATAAATGCTTTTGCTTTATTAAGCATATCTGTATTCCATTCAAGACATTTGTGTAGTTTTCTGTTTTCTAACTGAACAGGAAAACTAGCAGGTGCACCTGTAAAGGCTAATACTGGCCAGTTAATAGCAGGATATTGTCTTCCCCACTGTACTGCCATGTCTGTATGATAAACATCATAATGAAGAGGTCCATAAAATTCTGATTTTACAAAATCTATATTATACGTGTCCCAAAATGGACCAAATGGGTTTCCTTCTTTAGCATTACACGAATCCCCTTTTCCACGTGCAGAGTAGCAAAAAGCTGAAAATAAGAATATGTTACAAAAGAACATTTATTTTGTTCATTTAAAATTTAAAACTTACATACTCTTTCCTTTGATTGCCATATCCTTGGTGCAATATCTGTCATGAAGTCTTCCATTAATATTGCTTTATGGCAACTTTGCACTTGAGAAACATTAAAATATGTGTCAAAAGAAACTTGTATCTGAAACATACATTAAGAATTTATTGTTGGAAACATTATTTTGTAAGATACTGAAGATTATTGATCACCAACAGATCTAGTCTCTCCAGTTCTATATTCAACCCATGGTGGTAGAACCAGAGTACGATTTAAGGCTTTTGCAAATCCTAAAGCACCTAAAAAGTGGTCTGCTTGATTTCCAAATCTTCCTGAAAAGTATAATTAAATGAATAATTTAATCTTTATTCTTGTTACACAAAGTATCTACATATGTATATATATTTATAATGTTATTTAAACCTTACCCATGCATGGACAATAAACAATATACCCATTAGTGTCAATATCAAAATTTTCACAATATGTACTATAAAATGTAGTCAACAATAACACAAAGAATATAATACTAAACATTGTGATTAAGTTTTTTATAATTGTAATTAAAAATGTGTATTGAAATATAAATACACACAGTTTATTCTAAAAATTTAAACCATTCTAGGTAATCCATACCATATAATATACAGACACAACTTTACACATTTTCTTTATTACTATGGATACGACCGCCATTTTCCCTAGTGCTACGTTGAGCGTGCTTGAGGATATACACGTGTTGTTGCTACTTACTCAAAAATGGCAGAAAGCGGTAATTGTTTTTAATTTTTTCGTATATTTCATTGTATAATATATTATATAGTATTCTGTGCTTATTAAGCCTAATCAAATTACTCATTTTTACATAAAAATCGATGAAAACAGTTATTGTCTGTTATAAATTTTAGCTATGTGTCCATCGGTAAACACGTGTCTTTTTAATTTAGTAAAAGTACCGATGAAAGATATTACTTTAAATACATATTATACATGTATCACATGTGTCTATATTGTATCAAAATTAATATCTTAAATATGTACACGAATGTTACATTTTTTTAGCATAATAGTAATAACGTAAATGAATGTAAATGCATAGGTTAATTCTTATTTTCTTTCATATAGATAAAAGTAAGAAGAAAAACAAGAAGAAGTCGCTTGGAGAAATTCAAGTAGAGATGAAGTGTCAACTAGAACCTTCAGATGAATCTATAAAACTTGAATATAAAGATTGGCCACTATTATTTAAGGTAAATAATTTATCTTATAAGTATAATCATGTTCATACATTTGTAACTAAAAATGAATTATATTGTTTCAGAATTTTGATAAAATGCTTACCCGTACAAAACATTTTACTCCTTTAACTTGTGGTTCAACTCCATTACATCGTACTTTATCTGAGTATATAAAATCTGGGTGCATTAATTTAGATAAGCCATGCAATCCATCTTCGCATGAAGTGGTAGCATGGATAAAGAGAATTTTGAAAGTAGAGAAAACTGGTCATTCAGGCACTTTGGATCCCAAGGTGTCTGGTTGTTTAATAGTATGTATTGATAGAGCAACCCGTTTAGCTAAGTCACAGCAGTCTGCTGGAAAAGAATACATTGCAGTTTTTAAATTACATTCTGCTCCTGAAAGCCTGCAAAAGGTAATTGTAACATACACTGCATTGACTATTTTATACTTTGCATAATAAATTGTTGATAAATTAATATAGGTAAACCAAGCATTGGAAAAATTGCGTGGTGCACTGTTTCAACGACCTCCGCTTATATCTGCAGTGAAGCGTCAGCTTCGTGTTAGAACAGTTTATGATAGTTGGTTCCTTGATTATGATCATGAACGCAATATGGGAGTATTCAGAGTTAGTTGCGAAGCTGGATCTTACATTAGAACAATTTGTGTTCATCTTGGCCTCTTCTTAGGCACTGGTTGTCAGATGCAAGAATTGCGTAGAAATCGATCGGGTGTTCAATCTGAAAAAGATGGAATGGTTACTATGCACGATATACTAGATGCTCAATGGTTATATGAAAACCATGCAGATGAATCTTATTTAAGGAGAGTAATCAAACCATTGGAAGCCCTTCTTGTAAATCATAAAAGAATTATTGTGAAAGATAGTGCAGTATGTAGTCATTACTTATAAATGAAATTAATTTTTGTAGCGTAAAAATATTTGTTTAATGTTATATAATTTTATTAACAGGTAAATGCTATCTGCTATGGGGCTAAAATTATGTTGCCAGGTATTTTAATGTATGATGATGGTATAGAATTAAATCAAGAAATTGTAATAGTTACTACTAAGGGTGAAGCTATAGCTCTTGGTAAGCTTATCTTATGATATTTAAATATTGTACTTAAAAAAATTATCTTTGCAGTGTCTAATATCCATTCTTCATATGTTACAGGTATAGCATTAATGACATCTCCTACAATGACAGCCTGTGATCATGGGATAGCTGCAAAAATTAAAAGGGTTATCATGGAAAGGGATGCATATCCTAGGAAATGGGGTTTGGGACCAAAAGCTTCTGTAAAGAAGCGCATGATAATTGAAGGAAAATTAGATAAATATGGAAAACCAAATGAAAACACACCTGCTGATTGGTTGGCTAATTATACAGATTTCTCTACGCCTACAGTCAAGGTAAACATTACGGTTCTATCATAAACATGTGCCTTTTTAAACCTTGTTCATTACATAGACGGAAGAAAATGGTGTAACTGATGCTACGGCTAAAAAACGTAAGTGGGAAGAAACAACCCCTCAACCTTCGGGAGACGTATCAATAAAAGAGGAACCCGTTGAAGACTCTGAAACATCGTCACCAAAAGAGAAAAAGAAAGAAAAAAAGGATAAAAAGAAGAAGAAGAAGAAAGAAAAGGAAGAACGCGAAGCGGAGGGATCAGTTACAGTAGTTACAGAAAGTGAAGTTCCGGTAAGATAATAACATACGATTTTTATTTTTATTCTTTTCCTTCCTTAAATTAAATATTCTAATATTATTTGTAGGAATCACCGGTAAAAGAAGAAAAAGAGAAAAAGAAGAAGAAGAAAAAAGATAAAGATCAAGAAGCACCAACTTCAAGTTAAAAAAATTTTCTAAGATATACATATGTTTATTGAAAGGGTATTTTTTCTTATAAAACTGAAGAAAAACTGCGGACTTCATAGAAGAGAATGTATCTTTTCTATTTGAAGACGATTTTCAATAGGTATATAGTTTCTAATTTTTTACTTGTAAAAAAGATATTCACTTCCAATCCCTATCACATAATGTTTTAAATTAAAAACAAATTTTTTATATGTTCTGTAAACTTGTACATATGGAAATTCAAGCCAGATATACTTGGTAAGCATTTAGATCATTCTTTAGAATGCCGTATCAACGATGCTCGTTAATGGTAAGATAAGTATAAAATGATGTTACTGTTAATTGAGATTTCTAAATTTTCCAATTAGTATGTGTATATATATACATACTAATTATAATAATCAAATGTATTGATACGATAATTGATATTGACAGAATGTACATATTAACTGAATTTTATTTGCAATTTACTAAAATGTTTGCAAATACGTAAAATATTCCAATTACGATTCACTTGCTATAAAAATATTTTTACATTTATTTTATCACTTTCAGCAGTGCACAGTATTCTATATCCTGTATTACAAGTATTGTCATTTTATATTGTTTCATCTTTTCTTAAGCATATATTCGATACTGTTCACGTATAAAGGAACTCTGCTGCACTTTACAAGACGACTGAATAAAAAATTACATGTCATAAAATAATGAAATACTTTATTGCAGATAAGTTGGTCCATACCTTCATTTGTAAAACATCTTACTTTACATTATTCAGAGGTAGGATTCGACGACAACCTGAGTAATGTCCTAATATATCATTTTTTTAAATATAATTTTCAGTTATCACACCTAAATATCCTAATTAGTATACTCTACATGAAAATAATTTTCTCGACTACACGATACTACGCATCTTGATCACTCTGAAAACACGATATTACTGTGCGGTTACCTCAAATCACAAACACATACTTTCCAATATCAATCAATTCTATTCTCTCATACTTAACATCAAAATAACTTTCCTCAATCTTTTTTTATTACAGATTATCATTTAAAATATACTCTCTCCAACTCGACTCTTTCCCCGTATAGTTGATCCAGTATCTATCATTCAGATCCAAAGATACATCATTGATTAGTTTCAAAGTGGTTTGTCTTCATCAATGGGAACAGGACTCCCAAACGCTCGTTGCGTAGTTTCATCTTCCTTTTCTTTTGACTTTCTTGGGGAAAACGATTCTGGAGTGCCAAATGGTGATGAAACCATTGGGAAAGGTGCGGTGGTTGTCTCAGACTCCATCGTATCCGGAGCAGAATGCGTCGTTTCGAGTCCTCCGCTACCCAGCATCGAATCTGGTGATTCGTTGTACGAATGATCTGTGGGCTGAACAGGTTCACCCAACGGGTCAATAGTTTCCGAGGGTCTCCTTTCTTCTGGTACCGTCGACGTACGACGCAGGTTCGCCTTCTTGTACCTGTTACCAGGCATTCCTCCAATTAATAAGTAGAATAACCTATTGCCTATTAAATATAGTAACACATTGCGGATAGAAGTTTGCCAAATGTCAGCTAATTTACATAGTTGGTTTGACTTTTGTATAAAATCTCACTTTTCCACATAAGATCATAATTTTTTATTTCAGTGAACCTGTTAAATTAGGACATTCAGGGGAACTTCCAGTCCACAATGTGGTTAATTAATAAAAGAAAGAGTAATTTAGAGTACATTAATACTGACAGCTATAACGATATATTAAAATTGTAAGTATCAGATTGTATGGAATGTTGCGTTTCAAGTTTAACGAGTTAAATGTTATCGTCTAATTAAATGGAATAATTTATTATATGCTATTTACTGATTGACGTGTATCGGTGACATAGTTTGATCCGGACTCGTTCTCGTCGTGCCGTTTCCATTGTCCCAGGAGTTGTGCCGACGATGTTGACTCTTGTCTTTGTACGCTTCTGCTATGTTGTTGTAACTTCCTACGATTCTACGTTTGTCCAGTTCTTTCTGTATTTTCTCAGGCATGTTGCTGGCCGATTTGTGGAGTCCTCGCCTACTCATATTCTGAATCAAAAGTTTCAATCTTCACCAAGTAATTAACAAATCAGGGTTAAAAGTAACTATTGTTAAGGGATCACACGCTTACTCTCGAAGAAGGGATTGATTCCGCGTTAGGGTTGGTCCAAACGTTTGTCGCACCAGGTGCGTCCTCGTTACTATCATTCAACACTTCCGCCGAGTACGTAGGTCTGGCAGGTATAATAGGCGACCGACAGCATACTCTGCAGTAATAAAACCTAGAGAATTAGTTGAATAACGACTGTCGTTGATTACCTCGAATTGTATTGTACTTACGAGTTAACGTCCTCGAGTTTCTTCAACAACCTCTCGTTCTCTTTGCACACCAATTCTTGGTCCCTTATTACTTGTTCCCTGGTAGCATAAAGTTCCGCGTTCTCTCGACGAAGTGCCTCGTTCTCCGTAATGTATGCGTGAATTAGCTGGCTCAATTCTGGTCGCTCCATTTCAGATAACTTGTCTAAGTCCACCAATGGTGGTGTTAATGGCACTTTCCTTTCAGCTGTAAATTTAGAAACGTTTAGTTATTTAAGATTTGTTAACACTGAATGATACTTGATATTTTCCTTTCTCCTTGGATTATGTTTCTCTGTAGATGCCAATGATGTTATAACTTACTTTTAGACTCACTGCGAATGATATTTGAATAATCTTCACCGAGATGAAGAGCATTTCTCAGGTGTTCGTTTTCAGTTTCAAGCGCACCCACCTCTCTCTTCAGACTCAGAATCAATGCCTCTCGTGCATCCTGTAAAAATTACAAGCGAAACGTTATTTTTCCACGAATATAATCCACGAATATTGATTCTTAATTAAGTCTCCTCACTCACCATCACCACAATAGGTTTGGTGCGAATTTTCTTCACCCTTGCCGCGTACCTTAAAGTGTTCAACGTTTCGCTAGCGTTTGATCTTACCGGTGAAACGCAAGCAATCTAAAGATATAAAAAATGATCCAATTAGGGCTGCGTTCAAGAGATACAATCGTTGCAACCATGGTGACTAGATTTACCATTAAAGTGACACCGTTTCCTGCTAAACTGTCGGCTAAAAGTTTCGTCAGCTTGCTATCTCGATACGGAATGTGACCGTACTTGCGTTTTCCATCGCTCAACGAAGATATGCAGTAACCTTTACAGAAAGAAAAATAGGTTTCAAACAGGACAGGCTTTTATGTAATTCGCGCCACACGCGCGCTTATTGATTGCTCTGCGAACACGGTTGATAATGCGAGTAAAGCTTGCGCTCTCCCTTTCGACTAACGCGATCGATTCTTGCGATGATACTTCTGCATAATTGACACTATAAAGTTTCTGAGCCGTAATATCACGCGTGCTTTGGCATCGTGTTTTTTATGCTACTAAACTACTTCGACTTACCTAAAACCATCAGGCTCTTGTTAATGTTATTTGCCTCCTCCAAAGTTTTCCCTTCGCTCTGGGTCTTCTTTGTCATTTCACTGCCGGCCAGATCGACGAAATTAATTTTCCCTTGTCTCGAGATGAACACGCTATTGTCCATCTACGAACGTCAATTTCTGACTTCGATTTTTCCTTTTTTACATAAACAATATGATCGATACTCACTTGTTGCTCGGAAGTGATATTAACAGTTAGAATACTGTGACTTCTGCTAGAATGTTCGTTCATGTTGTGCGCACCGACAGATCTATTTCTCATACCTATATAAAAATTGTATTCTTTAGATACCTCTTTCTAATATTATATGTATATTCTGTTTCAGATAGCAGTGGAACGTCATGGTTACCTTCTTCGAGGACCGCCAGGAGGTCATCAAGTTCTTCACATTCGACGGTGAAGAGATTCTCAACGAAGAAACCCCGTGTCTTTTTGCTCCAACGGACCATCAGAGGCTTCCTCGACGTTCCAGGATTTAATAAATCTATTACCTGCGATTGAAATGAAATAATAGCAAGTTGGAATTTTCTTTTAATTAAATTAATGTAAGATGTACAGACCTTCTCGTTATAGATCTCTAGAAAAGAAGCTTTCAGTACAAAGTTACAGCCCTGACGTTCTTGTAGCAGCTTGAATAGGTAGACGAAGGACCGGAAGACCAGGCCATGATCCTCCGAGTAAGGATTCATTCTTTCGAACTATGGTAAGGAAACATCAATCACTTATCGATATTCTATGCATATTTACATCAATTATTCTTGGGAGAAATTTTGATTAGATGCACCTTTGACATTCCCTCTGGTATTAATAGATTGAAGCTTATGCATATTCGCTTCTTATTATGATTTAATAATGTAATGCGTCATACTTATTATAAAATATTCATAAAAGTGGTATCAAGGGTTATAGAAGACCATCGTACAAATAATTGAAGTTCTAAAACATTATAAGAAATTAAGACTCCCAAGATTTTCAAATTTGTCCTATTAGCAATCACGAAGACTACCAATGACAATCTACCCTTAGAAACTTCACAAAGGATCTATTCACAGAATTTTCTGTCTTCTCACCATTTCCGGAGGTCCTGTGAGAGTGTGAGTTTTCCCGCTTCCTGTTTGTCCGTAACAGAACGCAGTACAATTAAATCCATCCACAGCCATTTCAATCAGTTTCTTCACACCAGAAAATTGCAGTATGTCCTCCTGAGTAGCCGTGGGTTCAAACACTACGTTATATGAAAATAATTTTCCCTTTTTGTCCCCACTATTTGGCGATCCTTCGCACTATAAGGGATCAAACATGAAAGACAGCTTTGAATTATTGGAATCTGTAGCTATTACTTAAATCCACTAGTGTTGGAGGAGCGATAAGGGCATTGGCTTACGTATATCTGTCCATCTCCAGGAAATTGCACGGCCATATCCTCGCCGACTTTAATTTCCTTGCTGCTAAGCGGACGAACCCTGCGGTCGAGAAAAATTGCTTATCAAAACGCTGTGAATAGTAATTACTAGTAATAGATTTTTACAAGTTATTTATATTACCTGACCACCACATTGATGTTGTTTTCTGGAAGTAAATGTTTCGTAGCGATCACCCTCTTATCACCGTCCACCAGCCTCTCGATGCTACCAGTTCTAAAACACATTACAAAGAACAATGTCAATGATTTGAAAAAAGATCAAGAATAGACTAACAATTTTCTGTACAAATGAAACATTGTCTTCTATCAACGGGAGTAAACGTAAGCTAAGCTACAGGATTGACCAGCTATCATGAGGATTAAATAATTGAGAAGATTCAATCAGTCGGGGCAAACGTCGATGAAAAATCGCGTGATTGACCCAGACTCGTTTGTGATTTCGTTTTTCGTTCTTACAGTGTCTTATCGTGTTCCTGAAAAATCGTTGCGACCTCTGTCAATTATTTAGCAGGCTTTGATCGTAATTCCATCGATTACTGAAAGGAATAATACTTTTCGACTGTTGCTTATACTTTATGCATCAAACACTCTGCCTTGTTAGAGGCTCGAATCGTTATACTCTATTAAGTAATTACGTTTACGTTGAGTATTACAATAGGAGGATATTTTTAGTGAAAAACATTGAATTTATTGCATATAATGACGTTACGCGAAACTTGCTGAAAGTTTCTAACGCGTAGTTTTAACGCGTTCGTAAACGGAAATTATAATTATGTTAAAAGCATGATAAAGAGCAAGCGTCGCGTACTTGACGTCGATGTAGTGTCCTCGATAAGCTTTTACAAATTGCAATCTTTCATAGACGAACTAGAAGGTTTCTAATAAGAAAGTTTATTATAAACACAGAAGAGGAATGTTTTCAAGCCTCTACTCTCTAATGCATGGATCTACCAACAATTTCATAAATCATAATAGAAAAAGCAAAAATAGAAAAGAATTTTTCCATTTTTCATTTGCAACTATAAAAAATATCCCGGGCAAGTTTAATACGTGTTTCACGTGTCTAAGGGTTGAGATCTCTTTACACAGACACGTTCTGCCGATCGTCGCGATATTGACCGACAGAAATACACGAGCAAGCAAGGTCCCGCAATCGATACACTACATCGAAATATGTCGCAACTACGGCTATGTGTCTATCAATTCCCATAGATGAGAATATAGGGTGAGTTTACACAACCACCACCCGGAAAATTGAGTCGATCGACAAATTGGAGAATCCTTCAACGCGTCACCGCAAACTATCAGTGGCCTGGATCTTTGGACAATTTCCAAGGAATGATTGCTATTTAATTCTCCTTTCAAAATCCTTTTAACATCCATTAGAATCTTTTTTGTTCATCTAATAATCGACCCAGCACTTGCCATTAACAATAACCAAGAACGTAATTGTTTCATTTCTGAACTGAAGTCTACCATTTCTTGGTGTTTCTATTAATGTAATTGAAAAATTTCTTCAATATTTCTTCTTTTCTGTCTATTCAATTTCCCAGTGTGCTCTAATGTGAGATCGTGAAGCATCGTACGCGATAATTTCATGTATGTTGTAGTTTTCCATCGTTCAATACTCTTCTCTGTTTTTGTCCCCGTTGCTCATGGCTGTTGATAGCTTTCAGTCATATAATTTACTTGTTCATCTTCTTTCGAAAACAGTTCTTCTTAATCATTCTCTCTGTATCGATTCGTGGTACGAATATCAGGAATATATTGAAATTACTTTATCGTCGAGATTGAGGACGATAAGGCTGGTATTGCTTTTCATTATCTGTAGGTTTTTATCGGTGATAAAAAAAAAAGAGAAGAAATTATTAGTCAAAAAGTGATTTTAATATGAGTTATTTGAAAAACTATAAAAGAAATAAAATGTAGTTACTTTCACAATTAATGTTGATTAAAAGTTTCTAAATTATTCAATAAGTTTTAACGAGAAGAAAAATGATTACATATAGCGTTCCACAAAATCAACCGTTTGTTTAGATATTAAATTAAAACCTTCCTTTCACATTTTCGTATGAAATTCATTTGTATTTAGACTTACTCGCTCCCACGCGATCCTAATAAACTACTCTTCGTCTGGACTTTCTTGACAATGGAATTATTCTTTCCTGGACTGTTGCCTCTGGAAGTAGTTTGATCCCCTGGACTGTTGCCACGAGACGTACGAATCTTCCCTTTATCCTTTCTCGCATTTTCTTTTTGAGGACTCTCGCCTCGAGAAGGCGACGGATTTTTCGCAAGCACCATTCGTCAACCTTCAAACAAATATAATCATAAATCATACATGTATTTCTCCTTTTAATGATGCAATCCAAGGGCTGCCATTCATTCTACCTCTACTGTAATACAATTATACATGATAATAGAACATTGAAATTGCAAATCATAAATCATACATGCAGCTCGAATACAACAAGGTTTCACTGATTTTCAATTGTGCGATTGGTGTCATTCACACGAAACATTGGAACGTATCAAATCATCAGGAACAATCAAAGCTGACTGTGATAAAAGATCGAACAGTGAAAATGGTTCAGTTTCTTCGATGCACAATAGCGAAAGCCTCCTAACAAATGTATACAGCACCGGATCAATTAATTACCCGCGTTACACGTGGGATGATAATTAGTAGGTGGTAGAAGCGAAAGTTTTACCACTGAAAATTTTGAATACAAATTCTTCATTTGGAAAACTCGTATGTTCGAAAGGTTTTAATTTCAGATTATATTAAATACTTTGAAATCTAAAATTTCAAAGTTTCAACCCTTTGATTATTCTAATTATCCACATTGAAAGTTAAATTCTACAAGTATTCCACTGGACAGGACACATATTTAAAGTATCTCTGATATCTCAAACTTAACGACAGGATAAACGTTTTCTAACTTAGGTCCACCTTCGCCGTTTTTTGCATTAATCTCGCGAAAGAGGCGAAGGAAAGGCAGAGAAACGCGTACGGGACAGTTGTTTCGCGACTTCGTTCCGGTCTGTTCGCTTTACACCTTTCGTTTTTACGAGGATCAACGTAAACGCAGTGCTTTAGATCCCGAAAGTGAAAGCTAATCAGATTGGTAAATGAAATCGTTGTCCGTCTCGTGGAACGTTCAACGAAATATTAAGATACGTTTTCTGCGTCGACGATCGCCTCAGAAATTAACGAGCGAATAAAATACTTTTTCAGATATTATGTTTCCCAATTAGTCGGTTTTGCTTTCTATCGGCATTTCTTATTGAAACGAGGAAACGATTAGAAACGAAATCATACGGTTGTACTTTTATTACAACAGTATGATTATACTTAATGTTAATGTCGCTTCGTGGAAGTCTTTTTAAACTATAGATTGACTACTTCCTTGAACGTGACATAAGTTTGCGAGTGCATGCAAAGGTATAAGGTGTAAGAACGTCACAAGTGCTTTTATACAGAAAATGATAACGTAGCTTATTAAAAATAACGTTGAAGAAAACCTTGGATCATGAAAAAAATCCATAATTCCATTTTACTAAATCAACACTCATGAAAGCACTTTTTAAATATGTCCCATCACCTGTACCTCTGCAAACAGTTCCAATAAATCATCTGCTATCCCATCAAATTCTCCGTTATCGAGGCTTCAAATCAACCACTATGGTAGATGAACGCGAACCGATTAATGGATAACGGAAACGGGTTGTAACAGCAACAAGAGACGGCACGCTACTGACACTTCTTAGGGGTACTTTCGCTATTGGGTGGTGGTTTTTCCTATAGTACGCGTCCGCCGATCGAAACCACTGTCTAAACGTTATATATTCAGACGCATCGTCTATTCGATCGTGTTTCCTTTCGTCTGGCATACTCGGTCATCGTCCACGTGGACACCGCATTACGTCAGGTTGAACTTGACACGTCGAGCCCGGAGGTATACGATCGCGTCGGTTGATCAATGGACACAGCAGCTTCAACTTGAACTTTCATGTAAATTGACGGATGAAAATAGATTGTAAAAGCTTTGGTTTAGACTGGAAACCACGTAGAGTCGCTTCAATTATTCAAGATGATTCGATCAACCAAGGGTGGTTCACATTTCCTTGGAGAACCTTGAGAAAAAGGTTGATTATAAAATATAAACGATAGAAAATTTCGTAACTTTTTCTATACCTTCTTCGGTGATGCATTGGAAAAATCTTCGAGGAACATCTGCCTCTCTAATTGGCGAGTTTCCGTTGTTCGCGCAGAGTTGTTCGGTTTAAAAATTACCGGAGGATCACCGATGAATTGACCGGCTATAAATACACGGGGCCACGTTGTAAACTTTATTGCGGCTCCAGTTTCTTCGCCGTAGGAAATGCTCGAAAAAATTGCTGCAACCCTCTAACGATATTTTTGCATCGACCAGACTGATCCTTGGCCTCTTAGCTTGAGTTTGTTCAACGACTTCTGGAACCTTGAGGATGAAAACGTTTGAAAACATCTGCTTTTGCTTCGTGCTTTTAATTGAAAGGGTACCACCGTGGTAGACACGTCGATCATCGGTAGTCGTGTCTTGAACGTTGTCTGACTAACGGTTACAAAACTACGATAGCGGTATTTATCGTAACACTGGATGGAATACACGTGGAATGATGATAATTGGATTGTTCTTTGGATTCAGATGGCTTGGAAACGGGAACATTGAAACAAACATCCACATCGTGAGTCATGGGTACGATGTTTTGAAGATATTTTAGGCGGTCACTCATTTGGAAGAGATTCGGTACTCGTTCACACAAGACTCGCACAACAATCAGTGAATCATTTCACTTTAAAGAAGCCACCTGCAATGTTGGAGAAACGTTGGTACTTAGAAGAAAAGGCCATGTGTCTGATAATGATACAGTGCAAGAGACAAGAAAGCCATTGCAAGGTGTTGTTATGGCTAGTCACTTTAATGATGTCAGATTTATACTCACTATTAGAAACAGAACTAGAAAGAAAATTAAACTAGAAAAGACGTATTAAACTATTTCATCTCATTATTGGATTCCTGTTGGTCGAGTTTGTGGCGAGAGTAATGATGGAAAGCCGAGTATCTCGGAAGTTCTTTTTGTCTGCATCTTTGTCAGGTTCAAGAAACCAGGATATTACCTGTTGGTTTCATGGTACAATCAAGAATCGTGACATTATAAAAGATTAAATAATGATTCATTTTACCCTAAAGTGGATGTAGCAATTTCTAATGACTCTGAATGCAGAGAATCCGGATGTAAAAAGGGTTCAAACAGTCTCAGGATTTATCATCGAATCGTACGAGTTATCATCGTAAAGTAGAGAATACCCCAGGGCTGTAGGTTATTCCAGGGCGAAAGTGGCATTTATCGTATTTCGTGCCAACTCGCTTGGCTGACATTAAGCCGTGTACAGACGATGCCTGCACGCGTGCAGCCTTAAAATACCGGTTCATCGGGGGCTCGTGTCGCACACTTTTTCATGAATAAATAATTACTGGTAAATCTAATCGTGATATACAGTCACTACTGCCAGGCTCTTTCCTTTGCTCTCAATCTTAGCCAAAAGAAGCCTACATAAAATATTACTCCTCAAATATTAGGAATACTTTCACGTGGCTATGTATATATCTATACTGCTCACGGAAGAATGGACTATAAGTAAATTATAGCACAAAAGGGTGATGCACATTTTGGCTTCCTAATGTAAAGTTGCAGTTTTCCGGCCGATCACCGCGGCTACCGCAGGGGCTTGCACCTTTCTTGCACTTGATCTCGTTTAATTGTAATTAGACACCAACTGCTCAAGATGTCGTGTCTTAAAATAGCTCAACTTCGTAATTACTCCTGACACGCAGGTTCTCCCTTGCAATCGTTCCTTCTCGTCATAAACGAGTCAACTATTTCAATGCGTTTCTTTTTTTCCTTTTGCTAGCAAGGTTTTCGCAATCGGTGCCAAACGATTGGTTTCAGTTTAAGCAGTTATTTACTTGGCTCTATTCGCGGAAGTGCAACAAAGTTGAGTGCACTCAATTATGCAGGAAGTGCACTCAGGTCGTTAGGGAGTAACGTTTTATTCGCTGAAAGGAAACGCTTGCTTGCACGCCGCCTTTCCATTCATCCAGATTACCCCGTGAAATGCTTCCTTTGTGTACTAGGCGACGTTTATATCTTTTTTTATTCCCCGAGTTCGTAGATATAGATCAGCTCGCGCGAACAGTAATTTAAACCAATTACGAAAAACGTCGAATCCAGGGTGATCTATTTTTATTTTGTAACAAGAATTTCTAATTCACTGAATTGTATATCTTGGCAAAATTGCTTTAGCTTATCGATGCTTTGCTTTGCATTTGTTTGTTCACTTGCACCTGTAACTATATTGTTAATGAAACTTGGTAGAGAATAATATGGGATAATAAATGACGAGTTAATTTAATTTATACCATTTCAATGATATATACTTGATACAAGCAGTAAGCGTGTAATTTTGCCACGTTTTCAAAACAGGCCCAAAATACTGCTACATACTATGGTGCCCTCTAAGTCTGGCCAGATTATACAGAGAACTAAACGCCTTCCATTTCCTAACGATTTCGAAATTCTTCCAAAAAAAGTATTCTCCTGTGCATTCACACCTATGCACTGACACTCGTGCACTCGTATACACGTACACGTGCACACGAGTATACACACCGAGGGAATGGGTCGTTCTCCTTCTTTGTTGTACCCACTGACGTCTTACTCCCTTCTTCCACCACCTTCTTTCTACGGCACAGAGAGTTCCTTTGAGCCGGCAGTTTCGTGTGTTACACCGTGGCGTGTGCACCAAAGACCGCATAAGTTTATATGTTCGAGGTGAAGCACAAAAGGCACCCCAAGGGATCGGTCCCTTCCTTCTGCGGAACGAGTTTTCCAGGTGTCATCCAAGTGTGCTAACCGATAGACGAGCCTCGCGAACCAAGGCTCAGCACGGGGATAAATAAAAGTAAAAGTATCGAAGAATCGTTTTATCGAGAAGTGCAGTTTCGAAATAGGACGTAGTCTTTGTTCCGCTATCAGAGGTTTGTGACTTCTCTGTGATGTGACGAGTTCCCTGGCCGTGTGACATTTTATGACCGACAGAGTGGACAGCTGAAACGTAAGTTTAATTTTTGTTCATTTTTTTTTTCTTTGTCACGTGACTTCGAACAGGTGCAAGCATTATAAAAGGAACCTTTGTACCGATATTTTCCCAGGTACATACTTACCCGCTTGCTTGTTGGCCATTTCTGCTGTAAGCAGAGAATGAATTTGTTATTTAAACAAAAATGAAAGATTCCGATGTACCATTGTAACACATCAATCCATCATTATTATCTTGCATCAAAGGATAGAGATTGAAATAGCGCAAAGTTGCATGATATCGTATAGTTTTTGTTTAGGTGAAACTTGTTGAAAACACACGGAACAGCAGGAGGCGTGCAAGCTGTGCTTTATGTCATTGACATCTGGAACGTGAGGTACTGAAACGAAATCGCAAACATCTCGTGCTTTTATTAGATGATGCACCAGGTTACTGCAGATGCACCACGAGGTGGTCTGCAACATCGTACCGAGAACATTTGTTTTTTTCTCATGAATCATTAACACGGTGCGGTTTTTCCCTGCAATCTGCTTTGTAATCCTTGCAACATTCGTAGAAGGATTCTGTTGCAATGCGTCAACCTACGAATTTTATATCTATGATTATTTTTTTTCCTTATCAAACTCACCATCTTGTGCAATTAATATAATATCAGTGCCATTAAATTCGTGATACCGATTATCTGTAATCTCCAGCCATTAATATGTATTTTGATATTTACCACAAAATCCCAGAGGGGTGAAATTGGCGCGTGACTTTCTTCACCCTCAAAGTAGAAACGTTTGATACGTATATTTAGAAGTGGATTCGTAGCGAACTATAATTGACCACGTGCAAGTAGAAGTTCGGTAAAAGGGTCAAGCGAATTTATTAAGGTGACGTTCGGAGAATTCGCTGAATCGTTGTCCACTTCGGCGTATGGTTAACGGTTTAACTGCTTTGATAAAGATGTCATTGGTCAGCCAAGGTTAGTTTTAAATTACCACGTTAAACTTTCAGTAAGTGTCCTACTATTAAATGTCTGATAAAATAACTACAGAATTTATCCAATTTTATAAGGTTAAGGAAAATTACCTTAAATAAAAGAGACGATGATTTATGATGTTTCCTCTCTATCGATCATTTAGCTTTTATCCAAACATCCGTTGTAACGATAAATGTCGTATAATTTGAAAAATATTAACTAAACGATCGTTATCGTGCTGTTTTTTGGAATAAATAAGAATATGTATAAATCGGAAAAAGAATGACGATTAGTAAGTGAATTATTGCATAATAAATGAATTATAAAACAGACCTTATCGAAGATATGATCGATTCATTTTGAAATCTAGGCTTGAAGTTCGATACCTTATATTATTATTACAATATCGATGCTATTCAAAGTTTATCTTCTCCTTTATTCTGTTAATTATTTGATTACACAAGATTTGAAACACCGGTCATCACTTGCCACCATGACAGTCAATTATCGTTCTGCGATCGGTCGGTATGATCGAGTATCGATACATCAGCACTTTGTGCTCGCAATCGACCGTGACGTCAACTATTGTACCCGCTGCGATAATATAATACTTATCCGATATCGTCAAGTCGAATTTCTTCGATACACGAATCGATATCGATGCGATACTTTTTCGAATGATAATCTCAACCGTCTTCCATCGTCTTTTCAAGGAGAAATAAGTAGAAAAAAGAGGCGAATTTTTAACGAGTGCTCAACTTTTTCTTTATCAGATAACTCGTTAAGTCAGATCAGAAAATCATTGTTAAATTCTAAGAACAATTTCACACTTTCGAACAAGTTCCTGTTGACCCGTCGAGGTTTATCTTAAATGACTCGCGTGAAAGATTTCAGGATAACTTCGTAATTCCCCGAACAATGACAGCGAACTGTCTTTCCAGGAAATATCAATGAAAGAAACCAAAGAAAAAACGACGCATTGTTCCTCAGTTGGACCGCGAGTTCTAACGTGTAACCTGGCTTCCATGCTCGGCCATATTTAAAGAAGGGATTTGTGATTGTAGGTCATTGTTTAACCAAAGAATCTTGACCTGAATACTCGTGATCAGAACAGGTAGTAAGCAAACAAGTAGAAGATTGAACTTTTTTATTAGTAAAATTTGGTTAGAAATAAAGTACTTGAAATTACAAATACTTTTATAAGTAATGAGCAGGAATGCTGTGAGGGAACTTGACTCGTTTTCATCTCACCTTACCGCTTCGGAAAATCAAGCAAACAGACAGAAAGAGGAACCAGTCTCGCAACAGCCAAGTTCTTTTACTCTTTTCAAATGTGTCTATAGTCTGGTCAGTGCAGGCCAGATAAGACAATTAAAGGCGGTGAGTCACGATAGAGGTTATGTTATTCTTTTTTTATGGAGGCAACACGTGAGACTTAGCCGTGTCTGGTTGCACCGTTTTCTTTGGAACAACTTGTATCGAGCATTTGGAAAATCATTTTTATCTTTTGTGATGAATTGACTGGCATTTTTCAAATTTTGTATAATTCAATAATTAACACGTTAAACGCCTCGCCGGTCCCTGGGGACCGGCGTTAGATTTTCCGTTCGGGCCCCGGCGTTCCCTAGGGACTGATGTTATACTTTCCGTTTGGACCCCGCCGGATATCTATTGTTAATAGATATAACAATACAGACACGTTTTAAATAATAAAGACTTTAATAAAAACTTTAATTTTTTGGTGCTCCCCCAGGTTGGAAATCGCTGGCCTAAACGAAACACGCGGGGCGCTTAACGTGTTAATTAAAATTTGAAAATGATCCCGGTCGTCCGTGACCTCTGTTATAGTCAGTATGTTAATTGAAAAAGAGGATCGATGCAACTTAGAAAGTGAAATAGAACGCGTTCTCGTTCCCTTTACGTTTCTCAATGAACTTTCCACTCTAAACCGATTTAAACAAGGCAATATCCTGAGATTCTCTTATTTTAATAGGTTTAGCGGCTGTCTGGTTTGGTTGGCTAACGTCTGACGCGTGACAGGTTTATTTCTGAGTCAAACGCGTGTCTACTCGTCGCTTATTCAGTCAGAGTGTCGTTTTGTTTAAAAAAGTTGAATGTCAGACATGTATGACTCATTGAAGTTGAAAATGAATATAGAATTTCATTTCAGAAGGAAACACCCATTTTTTCCTGATATACTAATCTATTCAAATAAAGGTAATCTTCACTTTGACGATAAAAGAATGCAATTCCAAGTGAAAATTATTAATAACAGATGTTTCTTCTTTTTATGGTAACTTGACGAATGGAGCCCGTCGATTGTGACATTGAAGAAGTACGATTTTAGCGGATTCCAATCGTTCTGCGTTCAACTGACTCAAACACCATCGGATATTTTCCATACACGTCCTCACAGACGGCTAGCGTTTATCCTTCAGCAATTAATCCTGCACCTGTATAATTTATTCTTCGTCTCTATCTTAGCAATGTTAGTTCCTCCATTTATTTTATTTTCTAATTTTTCCAGGTGTGAATGCTTGATAATTATCAGACCATGGTACGTTAATATTGAGTGAATTTCAAATTTTCCAATGGTCTAAAATATTACAAGCATAGTGGTCCGCACTTCTCGTCGGTTTGGTGATATTTCATGGTTCGTGAACATCCGGTCTCGCTTCGCAAACTTGACGGAACCTCGCGCGATATTGGAGTTACATAACGAGGAAGTTCCTTAAAAACGTTTTTTATCGTCGACATGTAACCGGCACGACCGAACGTTTTGCATTCCTCAAGCCACTTTTCGTTATCTGGCCGCCTCACTTTCCATCATTCTTTTTTTCCTATTACCAGTTTACTGGGACCCGTATTAGAAGCTAATGACATGGACTGGAGATAGTGATAAAAATTATCGCCAGTTTGTGTCAATGCTAATTCGTTGAAAAACGTAATACAATGACTATTGTATTGTGCGAAGAACCAGGATCTTGTATCATCGAGGATAGAACCATAAGTGCAGTTTTGCTATAGCCAAAGGGTTAATTATGGTTCACCGACATCCCATTTCCGCTGCACTTTCTAAATTCCACGTAATCCAGTTCGATTACTTTATGCGAATACTAGAGACGTTAATTTTTATCAAATATGGTGTAACATGAAGCAGAGTTAAGCTCAATATTCGTACAGGTCATGACTTAAAAATACAGAAGAATTGCTAAAAAATTTCATAGGTAACAAGATTGAAAGTATCAGTAATTATTCTATAGCACATAAGTCATACTAGACTTCTATATTAATTGTAAATATTCAAAGTGCTGCAGCGTACGAACATGAAACAAAAGGGCGAAGAACCGACAAGCTCGCCAACTAAAGTGGCGATTTAATTTACAACGAACGACGTCGATGGAGTCGAGCCAGGTAACCAGATTTAAAGTTCAGCTTAAGAGCTGGTGGAGGCGTAATCGTACGTTTCTTCTCCGAATCTTCTCCGAAAAACCGGTTGGTTGGTTCTGATTCAGGCCGACCTTGAGTCAGTCAGCTTCGGACCTAAAGTTCAGGGCTTTCGAGGTGCTCTGTCGCGAGCCTTAATAAGCTTCGCGAGGACGAGGACAGAAATGATGGGAGAAGAGAGAATAAACGCGTATGACGTGTGTAATAATAAACCAAAGTCTGACTGCACGACGCTTGACGACAACAAAAAGAAAGGGAATAAAAAAGGATGAATCGAGGGGTGGATGATACACCAAAATAAGCGGGGATCTATTTTCGAGGCGTACGCAATGCGCCGTAGGAAAAACACCGGGAGACTCGACGACATTTGAATCGATCATTGGAGACCTCTTCTTGTGTCTACAATCTCAATTGACTCGAAAAACCAGGAGAAAATACTCAAGATCATTGCCATCTTAAAACAAAAACTCTAGAACTCATTAGAAAGCTCTAAGATATAAAATAAACGCCATTGCTTTGAAAGTACCGAAGGAGAAACGTAGTGAAGTGGAAGGTTTTAGGTGATACGTGAACGGCGTAAGGTTGAATGGCTGGGAGCTGTGTTTTAACAAGGTTCACATGTTACAGACTCTATCGAATGAAGATTAGTTTCTCTGTACTACCAAAGAGAAATGACTGACTTTCTTTTTGCAAAGATGATTCTCGTACGCGCTTCTGTTATCCATTAAGAGCACTGTTTTTTCCACGACTTGTCATACGATACGTGTGCTAGCGTAACAAGAGGTTGGTATTCTTAATGGACACCCAGTGTGTAACTAGTATCCGTCTTTACAGTTTGTAACTCAAGTCGTTGACTTCTTGCCATTCGACGTGTTAAAGAAAAGAGTATAAAATCAGGATCCTTGTTCATTCATGGCCAGGTTGAGTAACATGCTACTACATCATTTCGCTTAATTAATTCTTGACTCCTGAGGCTTGTTTGAATTTGTATGCATTGAACCTTTATTTGCAGAAATTTACATCAACGAAAGTTGCATGTTTTCAATGAAAACCTTCTCATTGAAGAGAACGAAGTAACGCTGCCAGACTGATAATAAATAGGTACTATGCTTGGATTATTCACATCTCAGCTTTTGAAGAGGCGCCAAATGTGTCTTCACTGACCATTGATCCCTCAGGTGAAACTCTGTTATTCGTTCCTATAATAAAATGTCATATTCATGGAGCTCCAATGATGCAATGACAATAATGAGTGACTTCCAGTCAGTATAGAATCATGGACTATGATAGAAAGTTCTCTAATACCATATGCAAACTACACGATCAGGATTTCACATAAATGACAATAATCACATAGTTTTGAATATAATTTCCTTAAAATGAAAGAAGGAAATTGATATCGTCGATGATACTCGAGCAATTAAGGATCGCAGAGTGATTTGTGACCGATCATGTTGCTGAAATTATAAGGGTGGAGCGGTAATTAAACCGTCTAATTGGAGATGTTCGCAATTAAGTGGCTCGCGCGACCACGACCTGGCGATTTTTACCGTTTCTGATCCCGCCGATTGTTCCTCGAGCGTGAAAGTCTTAAACGATCTCCTTGCCGAGCGCACAGTGCCGTCCGCGCGCACGAGCATAATGGTTAACAGTATTATCCTTTGAGAGGAAAGGAAAAGGAACAACGACCGGAAATGTCGCGCGAGCCACGATGCGGGACTCGTGCCTTCCTTTAATCGCTTAGATAAGGAGAACACCGTTTACCATGCACCGCAAGTCCGGTAATGGACGCAACCGGAAGTTCGTACGGTGTCGGTCGAAAACGTGCCACGCGCCGTCGCGAATTCAAAATGATATTGAAGAATCGCAAAGGCGCGTGTTTCGTATTGCGTTTGCATACAATGCAATATTATTTCGATCAGCTGATTTGATAAAGGCTGATGATTTAATTCTTACATCATAGATGATGATCATCTGTGTATTCAATTTAAGGAGATGAAATCAAAACTGATACCATTGGATATTACTTGAAACGTGTCTTTTATGCTAACTGAGAGTTCTAAAATTATTGATGACAAATCTCCGGATCTAAAAGTATCAAACGTTCAAGTAACCAGTCAATTTAGAAACACTCGAGGGCACACACTTTCGAGAAACGTTTCCATGGCTTACACCTCTATTTACGGTAACCAGTCGGACCTTTTTTATTTCCTGTCGGGTTGGAAGGTCGAAGAGACTCGAACCCGTCACCGCGATATGAAAGTGGTAAAATTATCATCCACGTATATAAATTACGGCGAGCTCTGGAAATAAGGAATCGACGATGATTTCACACGATCCAGTGAAAAGCCGTCTTTCCTCTCGGCAAACCGGGTAGCCGACAAAAGGCTAACCGGTTTCCGGAAATGGTTAATTCCTTTATTATACCCATGAGTACGCACGATCTTCTTTTCCTGCAGGTACATGTTCGCTTATGACCTTTGTGCTGAAGAATAAAGAGCCGAGGTCAAATGTTTCCATACTCCATATTAATTCAAGATAAATTTCAAATTATTCAAGAATTAAAAATCACCAAATGGATGATGGTTATTAGCAGGCAGTCCTGTGAATATTTTAGGTAACGCGTCAGACGTTTACTGGTTGACCTCTCGTCGAAGAGAAAAGCGATTTTTCATGTCGTTCTCCACGAAGGTGAAGAGACCAACAGCCTCTCGAAGGCCCTTTTTCTCTTCTTTTAGTCATCGGATGACGCGGTACGCGTCGATGAACGAACGCGACCCCGTTTCTCCGGATGAAAAAAACGAACGCGAACAATAACCGCTCGTTTACGCGTAAACGCGTTAGAAAGTGCAGCCGATCGAATTGCGCGTCGAAGATAAGAGAAAATCATCTCCTATTCGTCGAAGATGCGGTTTCTAGAAACCGATACTGTATCGTAAGTAAAATGATTGGCACAGAGATTTTTCATTTCAAATGGAGGAAGTTGAATAGCTAATGATTCTACTTGAACACAGGAATTGTTACAAGAATGGAAGACTCGCAGCTGGTGTTGCATTATTTCTCTTATCACCCTAATGGCGTTTGCGTAACGGATCTGCAATTAAGCAACACGTGGATATCGTTAATTTTCCTGCCAATTGAAAAGCGACATGTTAGACAACTGATAAACGTGAGTGTTCTATATTACCTGTCCAATGTAATTCACGATACATTGTGTGGATTCTATATCCTCTACCGTAGTGTAAGCAATCCATGACGTACCATGTGCGTCCTAAATTATTTATGGAACTCAATTCGTGACGTACCATGTGCATCCTATACCATCTATACGATTCAATTCATGACGCACCTTATGCGTCTCATGTACTTTAGATATACGTACAAGTACAGCCCATAGCAGCTATGCATGTTTTACAATTAAATAGATGGTACGTCTATTAGTACTGAAATAGGTGCCAATCAGATTAGAATGAGGAAGATAATCACCCTTTTACACCGACAAAGATAAACAGCTTTGTTCCTCCTTCGCGTTTCGTCAACTTCTTTGACGAACATGACGACATTATACGTGACCGTCTGGAACAATGAAAACCGCCTTCACACTACGATTCTTTCTATCTCGTGTTGCGTATCTGCGGCGATTTAGCATAAGATCAGCCGAGAAATTAGTCATCGAGCGAAAGTTCATGACCGAGACAGTGACTCAGATCGATTCCCCTTTCGTGGAGATGACTGCGGTCGAAGTTGGCCTCGAAATCGGTAATCCTACATACTTCAATAAATACAGAATATTGACTCAAGTAGGAACTAATCCTTCTATAAAAGGAGTATAAATCATTGGGATAATCTTCAAGTTTTCCAAGAAACATCGATGATTTCAACGACTCGTCCCAATGGTATTTATATCATGGTTCCCCGATCGTGAACATTCGCTTCCCAGAGGAACGTTTCGTTCCCAGTGGAAATTTTACTTGGTGTTTACAGCACAACTGCAATTGGACTGTTCGCTCGTAAAACTGGCGTTTTAAAGGCAGTCGTGTTTCGTTTATAAATCTCCTTCGGACGTTCATGGGCAATTTTTATAGTCGCTCGAAATAAATACACGCTCGGTATTTCGTTGTTGCATCGCTCGATATAATTACAGAATCATCCATCATCGCGAATTGGCTAATTTCCGTTGCGGTAAAAAGAAACTCCTTGCACCAGTATAAACGACAGCGTTACGACTTCCGTTTCGCGGAAACTGTCTTGCGATTTCTAGAATTATTGCGATAGTCATTGACCCGTCGAAAAGGATTGATTAGAACGAATACAACGAATCTGTCCTATGACCGTCTTTTGCCATTCGCTTATCCGTAAAAAAGAAAAATAGTCACGATTTAAATGTAAAGTTAAGCAACTCGGACTTCTAGATAACACTCGTTTAAAAGTTTCTGTTTTGTTAGCTAAAGAAATTTTATAAAAATTTATAGTTTTCCGTTGTTATAATGAAGTTTGTTTACTCCATTTGTCGAGAAGTATCTTTATTTAAATATTGCCGTTTCGACGAACGGTCATCGATTGACTCCTCGTATCAATAACAAACGAGAGGTCACCAATCCGGAGAAGCTTACGTTGCATCTGGATTTTCTCGTGGCCACATTTGTCCCAGTATTCTTCTGACGTTCGGTGCGATTGCATTTGAGTTTCCTTCTGCATACCCAGTTTTTTCGTTTCCCTTGGTTTCTTGGTGATTGCAGAGATTTTGGAATCATGAAGCCAAGGTAAAGCCTGAGAATCATTAATAGTAATTACGCGATACTGATAAAGTGTGAATGAAAATGTTAATACAAGCGTGTATTATTGACTATTAAGGCAATTAAGGCCCTTTAATTTACTGTAAAAAGAATCAGTAAAATAAAGAGCGCACAGTTGCCATCGAGTGTTTGTGTTATTGCGAATACTGTTGTTACGTGCTACAATTGCAATAGTCTTGCGAAAAAATCAAACAGATTAGATTAGATTAAGTGCATCCAGGTTTTCTGGCGCTTCCTCGAGTTCCTCGTTGGGAAAAATTTATTTTTCTTCTTTTTCGATAACTACCATTTTACAGCTCTATATTCAAAGTAATTATCATGGTATTAAGAAGAAATCAAGTTCTCTGCCAATTCCAATGAATAAATCTTTATTGAATAATTTCATAAACAATTTGATTGAAGAATTATGAATTTTCAGAAATTGATAAGTAGTCAATATGATTTCCATTAAGCTTACCTGAATTTATTCCCCTATCAGTGATGGATATTGGGGCGATGGGGAGGAGGTAGGAGAAGTTGCGTACGAGCGGTGATAAAACGAAGGTGAACACTGTTAAGTCGTTGTTGAGTAGCGACGGTAGGTGAAACGATCCTCCTCCAGTGTGCTTCGATCTCCTGGTGAACGTGTCAATTGCAACGAAACCGTGTGTTAATTGTACGATCGTTAACTGAACAACGGTACCGGAAGCGATGCTGAGTTGCTCTCGCGTATCTGATTCCTCGTTAATCTTCAGTGATCATTTGTGACATTGATTGAATCCAAGAAGAATTCTATGAAATCCTTGCATTCGAAGTAGGAGAAATTGTTGATGAATTAAGAATTATTGAAGAGTGAAAAGTTTTTTTGGGAGTTCCTATAGAAATTCATGGGTGTCTTGCTCTTCTAAACGTGCTTGTCACAGTGGAGATTTAATTTTTTCGATTTAAGCTTCTCTTACCTTGCATTACTATCAAAAATTCTGACTTTGAAGGCTTTCATTTTGGTTCAAAGTTAATTCAGAAATTCCTCATTTTACTTCAAAGCCGATTCATAGGTCTCCTAATCTCCTTCAAAGTTTGGAAATAATAATTAGAAATGATCAATTAAATTTATCAAGGCAATGATCGACAAACATGGAATTTCTTCAAGTCAATTTTTAATGAACTTCTATTTCTTCTGAACGTACGCTTGCTTCGCGATAATTCCACGATAAAACGTGGGCTCGCAAAAAATTTCACGTCGCCTGAACGCGGATATAATGAACGTATCTTCTCTTTTAATTCAGCCTTACGATATTTTGATAACGAGTAATCTCCCATCGATAAGAAACCTTCTCGTTATACCTTTTTTATTCGTTAAATAATTCGATGGTGTAGATAAAACATTCAGTTGCTCTTCTGTTTCATAATTATAATTAATTAGACGCACCTCTGGGATGTTCCTTTTATGAATGAAGGTACAGGAAAATTTTCCTGAAACAATAGATCATTTCAGAAACAATATAGTATAATATTGAGCAAGTAAGGGATTATAAAATTATCAGTCTTTCCATCTTGTTAAATAAAAAATTTATCTTGCATTATGTCTTTAGATAACAAAGTGTGATGAAATGATAGACGTTTTAAATTCGAATTTCAATTTTCCAGTTATGGAAATTTGCAATATTTTTTTAATGCTCTTCTTAGCGATAACAAGCTCATTACTTTTGGTGCAATTACTTTCTCCTATGTTATCTTGCTCTATTAGAAAAAAAAAAGAAGGAATCTGTATTCCTAGAAGCGTTTCGAACGGCAATGACCGCAATTTCTTGGCTGCGTTTATGGAATAGCAACGAGCCTCTAATTAATAGTGCAGTTTTCGAGCAGATCACGTATGTTCAGCCTTGAAGCTTCTTCCTTCAAGCAATTTTATTGCATCAAATACATTTTTCCTGCGAGAATTATTAACACGTTGTAGCCGTGGGATAGAAAACCGGTGTTACAATTGAATAAATGAAAGGAAAACTAATTACATAATATTAAAAACAACAATCGATCACGTCTGTTATCGAAGGGAATCGGTATTTTGTCATTTATTTCCACTATCTTATCTCGCGATTTAATGCTAGATTTCACGGGTAAACTAAACGAACATCAATTACTAGAGCATCAGCATCGATTCCAGTTTTGTTTAATTCATTAATTGATTTACTAATCACTTATTGGTGTTGTGCAGGGTGTAACGCCACGTTCAAACATGGGGTAAGTGTTCGTTCCACATTGGTCCACTTAATCTCCATCATTTACTGTAATATAGTAACAATTTTATTTTAGTATCACTCGTGTCTTTTGACGAACAAACACTTATATTAGGAATTCTGTAGTTGGAAACAACTTTATCGGTATTCCATCAACATTATTTCAATATCTAATCAAGAACTTTATCGCTTGCAATTCAATTAAAGCTGAAGAGTGATTGTACTACTAGGAAAATTTGTAGAAAATCGTTACAGATTGATACAATATGATTTTTTAATCAATAACCGACATAATACACAACGTGTATTAGGGGTCACCGGTGACCGGTCCCACAACTTACACACGCCTGTAATAATTAAAAGAAAACGATAGAAAAACATTATTTTAAGTAATATTGCTATGGTACAAATAATTTGAAATGGAAAATAGAAAGGTTGAAATTTGAAAATTAATTATTACTATTCATAGTAATTAGAGTTTTAATACGTCCCATAAAAAATGCCCAATTTTACTGTGGCGTTCAAAAAACAACAACAATAATAATATCCCATCTTCTACCATTTTCATACATCGCTCAGCTGAGCAATAATTTAAGATCGTCATTTATTTTATATTCAATTATCGAGTTGCTATGTGACAACGTTCCTCTATTCTTCACTCTAGATGAAAGAAACAGTTCACGATAGCTGATCGTCCAGAGAAGTACAATGTAATAGTTATGAAAATTATTTCACTTTGTATATTTTATGAAATGGAAAATTCTGAAAAAGTAATGGAGTTGAAAAATAGGAAAGAAACAAAACTCCTTCCTTCCCTGTTCGCGGATTTTTCTTATAATACTCGCGATGCGACCGCACGCGGAAAATCGACACCGCTCGCGTGAAGCGCCGTTGAAGTTCAGGGTGTTGATTTCGTTTCCGGTGTGGTGATTGAACAATAATCCAACTCTGCACTTTCTCGTGTTCGATATCCAGTCACGAAACGTATACGTTACACTCACGAGCAATTATGCAAATTTTGGTAAAACGACCAATATAAATTTTCAATTCGGTCAACATTTTATTTTGCAAGGAATACTACTTGAAGCTTCACTTTTCAGATAAATTAATTGTATCCCTTCGTTTGTGAAATTAAATTAGACGATCTCCTTAAAAATTTGTACCTCTTCAATTATTATACCTGACGTTAAAATGCGTTTTGAAAATGTTTCAGCGAGGAACACGCGGTATCCGACACTGGAGGTGGTGTAAAAGATTCCGGTAAAGCACCGGAAGTCCCCAGGACTGACCACGAGTTACGCAGAAAAATGGAACGTGGTCTTCACGAACGTGATCGCGTCGGAGTCCAGGATTTTGTCCTCCTGGAGGATTTCCAGAACGAGAATGCGTTCATCGACAATCTGCGAAAACGTTTTCACGAGGATCTGATTTATGTAAGATAGTCTTATTTTGCAAGTCTGTTAATTTAATTATCCTTACTTAAGATAAGTGTTCTGAATCTATCTCCATCTAACGAATTTCATTTATAATATCTTTCTTTTGCAGACATACATTGGTCAAGTACTGGTATCTGTGAATCCTTACAAGAAATTGCCAATTTACAATCAAGAAACTATCCAGTACTATCATCGTAGAAACTTCTTCCAGGCTCCTCCACACATGTAATATACAATCAGAAACTAAAAAGTATCATTTATCTTTCTCAGTATGGTCATTAAGAATTTTCTATTTCAGCTTTGCACTCGCAGATACCGCTTATCAGTCCCTGTTGAAAGAAAATCTGGATCAGTGTATTCTCATCTCTGGTATGAAGCAAATTTAAACAACTGAAGTTGATCCAATTAACAAGTTAAACTGTCTACTTATTACCTTAAAAAATAATATAATGTGCCACTTAGAATATCCTTTAACATATTGGATTATATTAAATTCAACGTCTTAATTTGTTACGTTGATTTGATAATTGGCAGTCAAAACGTTAATTAGAGATCCACGAAAATTCTTGTAACCAATTAGATAAATTTAACGTTACTTGAACTCGTTACGTAGGCGAATCCGGTTCAGGAAAGACCGAAGCTTCGAAGAAGGTCCTGGAATTTATCGCAGCCGCGACCGGCCACAAGAAACAAGTGGAAGAAGTAAATGATAAATTGATCGGTAGCAATCCTGTACTCGAAGCATTCGGAAATGCGAAAACTGATCGCAATGATAATTCGTCCCGTTTCGGCAAGTACATGGATATCCAATTTAATTTCCAGGTACAAATAAAACTCACTCTCTCTTCTCATTTTCTATCATTATCTACGTTTTCAATATAGATACGATTATTTAAGTGAAATAAAATACTCCTTAGATTAACACATTTCTTAATTTTAGGGAGATCCAATTGGTGGAAATATCTTGAATTATCTACTGGAGAAGTCAAGGGTGGTTCATCAATTTTCTGGTGAACGTAATTTCCACATCTTCTATCAATTATTAGCTGGAGCAAGTGAAGAGACTCTACGAGACTTGTATCTAAAGAGAAATTTGGATACATACTATTACCTGAGCAATGGGGTAAGTTATTACCTCGGCAAAGAACTGTTACAAAACATTATAGATTATATAATATTCTTACAATTGTAGACGAAAGGCACAGTAGATACTATTGATGACGCGACTCAATACCAAGAGGTAATGAAAGCAATGAAGACTATGGAAATGAGTCAGCATGAACAGAATGATTTATTCGCAATAGTCGCCTCCGTATTGCACATGGGAAATGTTGGATTCACCGAGAAAGATGGAGTCGCTCAAATTTTAAAGCCGGCTTCTGTTGAGGCTGTCGCCTCTGTAAGTGTTTTAACGTAGACTAAACAAATATTTTCTTCTCACTGATTAATTCTTCTTTTCAATTTTATTCACAGCTACTGGGCTGCGACTTGAAGCAACTAGCGCAAGCTTTTACACACCGCACCATAGATGCTCGGGGTGACGTAGTCATTTCCCCGTTGAACAGAGAATTCGCAATCTATGCACGCGATGCATTAGCGAAAGCTGTGTATGACAGATTATTCACGTGGCTCGTGACCAGATTGAATAAATCATTGCAATCGATTAACGATCGACGACGCAAGATGGTCATAGGTATTCTGGACATTTATGGTTTCGAAATTTTCCAAAAGAACAGGTACGTATATCCTTGATATCAATTGCTACTTTTGTTACCAAGAACTAATTGAAAGCATCGTTCAACAGCTTTGAACAATTCTGTATAAATTACTGCAACGAGAAGTTACAACAGTTGTTCATTCAGTTAACGTTGAAATCGGAGCAAGAAGAGTATCTGAGGGAGGGAATAACTTGGGAAAATATTCAATATTTTAATAACAAAGTTATTTGCGATTTGATTGAAGAAAAACATAAAGGTATTCATCTTACTATCTGTTGATGGTTATTGGTTCAATTACTGTGGATATATTGGATCATTTAATATATTTTAATAGGAATTATATCTTTGATGGATGAGGAATGCCTTCGTCCTGGTGAACCAACTGATTTGAGCTTCCTGGAGAAGTTGAATGTAAATTTGAACAATCATCCCCATTACATAAGTCACATGAAAGCAGACTTACAAACGCAGAAAGTTATGGGACGAGATGTAAGACTCAATTTCCTCAATTAAATAAGAAATTCTTTGATATAATCATTTCTAATATAATTCACATTTCAGGAGTTTAGATTGGTACATTATGCTGGCGACGTAACATACAATGTCCGTGGGTTCTTGGAAAAAAATAATGATTTGTTATATAGAGATTTACGTGAAGTAATGTCCCACACAACGAATTCGATCATCAAGGTATTTTTATTGATTTACATTTCATTGTTCATCAACTTTTGTATATAATAAATATATATGAATTTTGTAGAATGTGTTTGATGTAAAAGATTTGACCAGCAAGAAGCGACCAGATACAGCTATTACACAATTTAAAAACAGCTTAAATAATCTTGTGGAAATCCTTATGGACAAGGAACCTTCTTATATTCGTTGTATCAAACCCAACGATTACAAGATGGCCAGTGAGTAACATGTAATAAAATTGTATTCATTTTAAAATAACTTGTATTCTGTTTTAGATCAATTCAAAGATAAGATTGTGCTGCACCAAGTAAAGTATTTAGGTCTTATGGAGAATCTACGAGTAAGGCGAGCTGGTTTCGCCTATAGAAGACCATACGAGCAGTTTTTGCAACGTTACAAATCCCTGTGTCCACAAACTTGGCCTAATTATCATGGTCCAGCTAAAGAAGGCGTTCAGATACTTGTATGTTTCCTTGGTTTTGAACAGGATGAATACAGGATGGGCAAGTAAGAACTATTTGGAAAATAAATACAGTAAAAGTTTGACACGTACAAGAAACGTTTCTAAAACTAGAAAAAATTTCTTGTACAGCACAAAGCTGTTCATTCGATTCCCCAAAACGTTATTCGACACGGAAGACGCCTTTCAAATGAAGAAGCATGAGATAGCTGCTATTATTCAAAGTAAATGGAAATGTATACGGACAAGGCGAAGATTCTTAAACATGAGAAAAGCGGCGATAGTCTTCCAAAAATATATACGTCGATGGCTTGCTAAACGTGAGGCTGAAAAAAGAAAAAAAGCAGTCATTACAATTAGAAGGTATTACAAGTTAATCCTTTTTCTACAGGATATTTCAAATGAGGTACAAATTTATATTATTTTATGCAGATTTATTGAAGGATTTATTACCCGAAATGGACCACCAACTGAGATTAACGTGGCTTTTATCGAGTTAGCGAAATATCAATGGTTGATCAAGCTCTCTAAAACACTTCCAGAAGGTGTTTTGAATAATTATTGGCCCCCATCTCCATACGCATGTCGAGAAGTAAGATTTATAATCAATTATTTCTATCCTTTTTTTATTAAAACAAATAATTCTAATTGACTTTAGGCTTCTGAACACTTGCGAATTTTATACAAAAGATGGAAAGCAAGGAAATATAGATTAGCTTTGTCAAGAGAAGACAAGGAACAATTTGAGTTAAAGATTTTAGCTGAATCTCTATTTAAAGGAAAGAAGAAATCATATCCAAAAAGTGTGGGACCGAGATTCCAAAATGATAGACTCGGTGCTGAACATAAAGCATTAAGACAGAGTTTCATTAACAACATTCTTCCAAGGGATGAAACCATAAAGGTAAAGTATTTTTATTTTGTTTTGCATTTTATATGTCTAGACCGATTAATGAAATAGTACCTCTGTATCTTCTAGTACGCGACTCCTGTTATTAAATACGATCGACATGGTTATAAACCCCGCGAGAGGGTATTAATTTTAACAGAAAACGCAGTATACATTTTAGACACACTGAAGACTTTCAAACTTAAGCACAGGCTCCCTTATAAATCTATTGAAGAATTGGTGGTTACTGGAGAATCAGATAATTTATTAATTATGAGGATACCGCCTGAGTTGAAGAAGGACAAGGTTTGCCACTGTTTCGCTATTTTGATATTTATATTTATACAAGACCGAAAAATTATTAGAATAATTATTTGACGAACTTATATTTTAAAAAGACCGCCTAGAATTATTTTTAAAGTTCGACCACTGCGCCATCTATACAAAAACGGCTGAAACTACTCAATAAATTACCGACTTATCGACTGAACTTCCGACAGTCGGTAATCGACCCTTCGGCAGTCGGTAAGTTAACGAATAGTTTGCGCCGCTTTTATATAGATGGCGCAATGGCCGATGACTTGGGGTGGTAGGGACCCCGAAGCGCCAGTAATGCTTTTCGCGTGTCGACGTTGCTGCATCTGGGGTGTCAGGGACCCCAAAGTAACCGGTGACTGCGAATCGATATATCATCCTGGGGTATTAGAGACCCCGAAGCGCCGGCGATATTTGCATACTGACGTTATGGCATCCGGGGTGTCAGGAACCCCGAAGCTAAAATTTTGAGCTAGTCTCAGCGAGTCCTTTCTAAAGACATATATGTAAAGCGTATCTCTAATCCTAGTAGTTGTCAAGTTGAAAATTGACACTGACGGACGTCTTTGCTCTTTATACATATATATAAAATTTATTGTTTTTTAAACTTGTATTTTACTCAGGGTGATTTAATATTGGAAGTACCACATACAATAGAGGCGCTAACAAAAGCAATTGATATCACTAACAATCCAAATATTCTTAAAATTGTTAATACGGAGTCGTAAGTATAAAAAAAAAGACATTTACATACAAGTTCAAATTTTAACTCATGTTACATTATTATTTGTAGGGTCTCACATAAACTAGTCAGTGGAAAAGAAGGTGTAATTGAATTTAGAACTGGTACAACACCAGCTATTAGTAAAAACAGACAAAGTGGACATTTACTAGTGGTAAATACAAATTCAAGATATTAAAATTAAATTATATTTTTCCTTGTAATTACACAAAACATTCTAGGTGGCATCTCCATAACATCTGAAAGAAGTTTTAAATAGAAGTAATTCTGTACTTAGAAAAAAGTGTTCAACATATAAAGTACAATGTAATGCAGCCTTACTTGATGTGATCTACAATGGAAGACTATTAAGAAGAGATAATATATTAAAACTTAGTACATTTATTAAACCACATTCGCAATTTCTTACCTTGTTATACGAATTGTGTAAACTATCCCGTGAAATAAGGTTTATTTTTATAACTGGTGCATTCGTTGTGAAATGGAAATTTTACCAATGACAAGAATTGTTTGAAAAGTAGAATGTTTGTGCCTTTTATAAAATTAAGTAATCGCACAAAAAAGTAATTTATTAATGAATGCCTCGTATAAGTGCACTAAAAGAAATGATTTTCCTTTTCTATATTTATATTGTTTAAGTCACTGTGCCATTCACGTTTAGAAAAATCATATGAAATTAAATTAGGTTAATCTTAAAAAATGAATAATTCTATTCCTTGTTGCATATTTCTTTATTTTAAAACCAAATGTTAGATAAATTACAACATATCTATAGAAAACATAATAAAATAATTCTTTCCTTAACAGTGATAGTTTTTTTTTAATAAACATTATAAATATTACAGTTTTGTATAAGACTTTGTAATACTATTCTCTCTATTTAATGATATTCACTGTGTTATATTTGTTTGAAATAAATGTCATTAAATAGATGTAATAACAATCATTTTATATACAGATATCCTAAACTAATATTAATACTAACATATAAACTGTTCTTAATTATTTCTTCTGGGATGTAGAAGGTTCCTTTCTTACAAGAGACATTTTCCCACCTAAAGCTTTTTCTCTCAGTTCATTCTCCATTGCTCTATTAACTGTTTTACTGATCATTTGTTTCAATTTGTGTGCCTCTTCAAATTTCTTCTTTTTTGGCTGTATAGGTGCATCTAATAAAAAACAATAATGTGTTAATAAAATTGAATGTATTTATAACTACAGAATGAAAGTCACATGTAAATATTAATTACTGTTCCGCCGCTGAATAGGAAGACCCTTTCTATTTTTATTACTCTTAGCTTTTCCTTTTGCCGATGTGGGTACTTTAGTTTTCACTTTTAATTTCCCTTGAGCCATGACTTAAATGCTTGTCAGCTACTTGAAACAAACACGTATATTTATGTATGTATTTACAGTGACTAAAGGTATACGTAGCTCGATCTGTACTGGTAGTCACTGAGCTGCATCAGGCTGACCTACATGAAGTTAGCCGGAAAGAATAATAAAATATGATTATTTTTAATTTTTCTTAGTGTATTTCGTTTGTAAATTGTTTGTGATTGATTGTGAGTCTATTTTTAACGTTTGTGACAAATTACTTCTTTTGTAATTAGCAATATATCATTTTCATTGTTTGTGAGTGAATAATTTCTTAATTATCTACAAGTTTGTATTGTAATAAATAATTGTAGTGCGCATGCGCAGAATATACTCAGGACTCTTGCCAACAGTGGACCGGTGCGTTACATATAGCGGAAATCGTTTAAATTTTCTATGTTTTATATTCTATGGGCAAAAGTTCTTTTAATTTTTTGGAACAACTGTCATTATGCTGAAGATCTTTTATAATAAAATAACAAAATTAATAAAATTCATATATTTTTATATATTATATATTATTTATAAATATTGTAAACCGAGTTCCTTTTCTTTCTCTTATTCTTTCCGCTAGCTTCATGTAGATAGCTAAAGGCCTCCATGTACCCTTATTTTATGTTCTGCGTTCATCTAATTTACTGTAATTATCTTCTAAGCTTATTGAATAAACTCCTTACGAAGACGAACGTGTTGATTTTATTACTTCCGTCTGCACCCTTATATCACTGCATTCCTAACATACCAGCAACCCTTACATCTCAGTATTCCTAACATCTCTGCATTCTTTTCATCCCTACATTCTTTTCATCACTACATTCCTTACATCTCTTCATCCCTTACATCCCTGCATCCCTTACATGCCTGCATCACTTATATTCCTGTATTCTATACATACCTGTACCTCCCTGAAACTGAGTTGAAATTTTTACGGCTGTAAGGCCTGCGATTTTATACAAATTTAGTTCCTTTTTTCGCCACTAGAGGACGCTGATTCGACATCGAAATTTTAGTTCACATTTTTGCCGTCAGAGGGCCAGAAATTGAGCCAGATTTAGTTCCTTTTTCCAAAACCAGATGGCGCTGATTCGACATCGAAATTTTAATTCACATTTTTGCCGCTAGAGGGCCAAAATTGAGCAAGATTTAGTTCCTTTTTCCAAAACCAGATGGCGCTGATTCGACATCGAAATTTTAGTTCACATTTTTGCCGCTAGAGGGCCAAAATTGAGCAAGATTTAGTTCCTTTTTCCAAAACCAGATGGCGCTGATTCGACGTCGAAATTTTAGTTTACATTTTTGCCACTAGGGGGCGCTTTTTCGAGAATTTCGCGGGAAAGGGATAAGGACATGTAAGGAATGTAGGGATATAAGGGATGAAGCGATGTATGGAATGTAGGGATGACAGGAATGTAGGGATGAAAGTAATGTAGGGATGAAAGGAATGTAGGGATATAAGGGATGAAGAGATGTAAGGAATGTAGCGATATAAGGGATGGAGCGATGTATGGAATGTAGGGATGGAAAGAATGTAGGGTTGAAAGGAATGTAGGGATATAAGGGATGAAGCGATGTATGAAATGTAGGGATGGAAAGAATGTAGGGATGAAAGGAATGTAGGGATATAAGGGATGAAGAGGTGTAAGGAATGCTGGGATGTCAAGAATGCAGACATGTAAAGGAATCTGGGATGTAATGGTTGCAAAGATCTAAAGGAATCAGAAGTGTAAAGGATGCACACAGGAGTAATTAAATCAACACGTTCTTCCTTCTGATAAGTTTATTCAATAGGTCTAAGAAGATAAACACAGCAAATTAAATGCGGCAATAAAATTAAATAAACTACGGAAAGAAATTAGAGGACGATTGTTACACTGGTTGTGCCCTCTTCATACGGACCTGATATCAGATTGGGGTGTTAGGGACCCCAAAGCATGAGTGACGCTCTTTGCATACAGATGTTTTGGTATCCGGGGTGTCAGGGACCCCGAAGCGCTGGTTACTCCTACTGCATACTGATTAGATACGGTCTTGGGGTGTTAAGGATCCCGAAGTACGAATAGCGCTCTTTGTATACCTGCCTGATATCATCTTGGGGTGTCAGGGACCCCGAAGCGCCGGTTACTCTTACTGCATACCGATTAGCTACCGTCTTGGGGTATTAAGGACCCCGAAGTACGAATAGCGCTCTTTGTATACCTGCCTGATATCATCTTGGGGTGTCGGGGACCCCGAAGCGCGGGTTAGTCTATCTGTGTACCAGTTAGATACCGTCTTGGGGTATGAAGGACCCCGAAGTACGAATAGCGCTCTTTGTATACCTGCCTGATATCATCTTGGGGTGTCGGGGACCCCGAAGCGCGGGTTAGTCTATCTGTATACCAGTTAGATACCGTCTTGGGGTGTTAAGGACCCCGAAGTACGGATAGCGCTCTTTGTATACCTGCCTGATATCATCTTGGGGTATCAGAGACCCCTGAGCACAGGCAATTCTCTTTGCATACCGACATTATGTCATCCGGGGTTTCAGAGACCCCGATACATCAATGGCGCTCTCTGTATACCGACCGGATATCGTCTTGGGGTGTCAGGGACCCCAAAGCACAATTTTCAATATGTAATAACTATTGTATTGTATTGTTATAATATAATAATTATCAAAGATTCGTATGCTTATGTAAAAAAAAGAATAGTTTTAAGGATAATAATGATTTTATAACTAAATAAAATGTTGTGTATGTCACCTTTGATTAATCTAATATAAAGTGGTTCCCCGAAAATTTTAAAACTCATCAGTACTATGCATTTTTAATAATATCCTATTATTATGATGAAATTTATTAAAATATAACAGATGAATAATAATTGATGCGGTGTATTTAATTATTTAATGCACAACCTAATTGCGAACTATGTTAATTGAATTTGTATTCGGAGCATTTATATCCCAGCTGTAATATTATCTAGCATATACCGTTATCAGACCATCCATCTATTTTTTACAAGAACATCAAGTTTACGTCTCGTTTCTTCCCTCTTAGTTGCTTAATAAACAGAGAAGAATTAAGCCATAAGAATGGCACTATCTAAACCAACGAATTTCATACTTCATCTTACTAGTGCTTATTTCGAGCGTCTTTATAATAGCCCATTAAAAACTAAAGCAATCACCAGGTATGTTACTGTTCCAATTTGAGAGAAAGAATAAATAATAAATTTTATTAAATTGATGAATGAAATATGATATGGCTACTTTTTGTTTTAGTTGCATAATCGCCACTCTCGGAAATTTTATATCGCAAAAGATTTCTGGAGTAAAACGTCTTAATCAAGATAGCTTACTTGCCTTTGCTCTCTTTGGGTAAATTTAATTTACTCAAATTTTGCGCCATAATTCGCATTTAGATTTTTTTATATTAGAATATCATTTTATTTTATAGATTACTTTTTGGAGGACCTGCCCCACATTACTTTTATACTTTTATGCAACCATTACTAAAGAATCCTCTTATACTTTTATTGGTAGAGAGATTGTTATATACACCATGTTATCAAGCATTAGCATTATATATGATAGCTTTGTTTGAGGTATAATCATTTACTTCATAGCTAATTTATATTCATAATTTAATACACTTTATCGTATTAAAATTCATTTTACTGCAGGGTAACACATATGAGGATTCTTACAAACAACTGAAAAAGTTGTACTTGCCTGTACTTACTGCCAACTTGAAATACATAACATTGTTACAGTATCTGAATTTGAAGTATGTTCCACCATTGGTAAGTATTATCATTGTGTAATAAATTGTTTGAGTATATATTTTCTGTGGTCTTAAATAAAAAATACATTTCTTGTAAATTTCTTTACAGTTACGTGTTCTGGTGGTAAATTTAATTGGTTTCTTCTGGGCCATATACCTTGCACAACAGAGATCCAAGCAATCAACAGGAAAATAACATATTAATACTTAATAAATTTGACTTACGGTGTTGTTAGGTATAAAATTAAGAACATAAAAAGGGGACCATACTTGTTAGGGTTGATACATATTTTGCGTGTACATTATGTAAATACTCATTCCAATGTTGAGCTTTATTTTCTATGTATGTATTGCAGTATCATATTGCAAATACCTGAATTAATATGCAAACTATAAAGTAAGAATATTTATGAATAAACTATGTAAGAGCTTTGAAGGAAGGGAAGCAATGTTTTAAGCTTTTTAATTTAATCACACAACAACAATACAGAGTATATTACAGATATAATCAGAATTTTTTTCATATCAACGATGGTAACATTCGATGGCTGTAAATTATGAATAATAAATATTAATGTCAAAAGCCATGGTGGACAAAGTTTAACAAGTTTCACTTTTGCATACTCGTGAATTTCATTTCATGCGTCGTTAAAAGATTATGGTACTATAGAAAAACTGTTAGTGAAATGTTAAAATAACATTCTTTAAATTTACTAATTTTATAAAACAGGTATATTGAGATGAGAACATTTTTATTCCATAGATATGCATCAATGAAGAACCAGTATTGCAACACCATAACACTTGACAACTTCTTAATAAAACTGAGTCAGTCATTATGCAAGAGCTAATTCTATGTAGTTTTGTCTATCTAATTATAAACAACGTAGACTTTTCAAATATGACTTTAAACCCTATACATACATTTTCAAGACTTAACTTTGAATAATCAAGACTAGTCTAATTATGTCTTTTGGTACGCTGCCTGGCCTTATAGCCAAGAAAAAAACATTTTTGACTAGTGTTCAGATAAATTGAGTATTGCAAGTAAAAGAAAGTTCAAAAGTTTATCACTTTTATACTTTTTCTTTGCTTGATAAATGACTAGTAAGTTGTGACAATAAATAATTAAATAAATAAATAATTAAACATTTAAATAAATATACAATTCTTTAAATATTGAGTATGTAGAATGAAAAGCAAATGAGCAAAGTGCTAGGTTTCATTATGCACAATAATATCTATGTACAAAAGGAACAGATGTAGAAGATTGCACTAAAATGTCAATTATAAAAATAATAAATATCAATTATAAATAAAATAGTCTAGTATGTTTAATTATCAATGGAATGTCTAGAATTTGACTAGCTGGTGTTTGTATAACAAACAATCACATGATTAAACAATCATGCAAATGTAGCACTACTTGTGTAGTATTAAATGAACTTTTAAATAATGGAATAGCTATTGAATAATAACGTGAGATCTTAAGAAGCTGCAACCAACATAGTTTATGATGTTTTATAATCATCATTGCCTCCTTATTGCTTAAATACTTAGATGTAAGTAAGTCTACGAAAAATGTCTTTATATGAAGACTTAAAATTCTCAAAGTTGTGACACAACATAATCCACATTTATCATTTTTTTTTTTAAAACGATCATATCGCAAAATATTATATTCCTATTATTAAAATCTCATTCAATTACATTAAATTAAATAATAAATAATAAATAGAAATCGATTTTTTCTATTTTCAGATTAATAAATTTGCCCTAACAATTAACAGGATAATTGCACTGTAGTTACATTGAAATCACTAGCTTTGATCACCTGATTAAATTAAAACTGAAATTAAAATAATGAAATATACTAATACTGAGACTGATGGCATTATGATGAATCACCACCAATGAGTATTATTAAGTCATGAGATCAAATGTATAAATGCCTATTAAGAATTTACAAATACTTAAAGATCATGCATCAAACTTAGAATGGCGTTTCTTCTCTTAGTATCTTGAAATCATATTTTTTGATATCAGAAAATAGGTAAAACTTTCTTGTTAATAAACGTGATTTGTATTATGCAACAGTGTTAGAAAAAGCGTGAAAGAGACTTCCATGATCCATACCATTCCAAATCTGATACATAAAAAGGAACGTCGAGTGTCTTTCAGGGATCCAGTTGATCGCTTCAACGCGTGTACGATGGACTCCGACTTGGGAAACAACTTGATTGATGACTTGGACTTGACCAATTACTATGTCTGCTGCTTTCTGAACTACTCGGTGACGAGGGTGGTGTCGGAGTCGGTCGGTGATATGGAATTGGTCGCTTCCTGGCGCTAAAATAAATAACTGTCAATATTGTATAAAACTGTATATACAATGAAACATTTCTTCAAATTCAAGTAAATGTATATATTAATCAGAAATAATTACTATGTCCAAATTAACATCAAAATGTATGATTCAACGTATACTGTAATTACAGAAAGGAAATAGCAAACTAAACCATGCAATGCAATAAAATAAAATACCATGCAAAATAAAAATGTGTCACTTACCTTGGTGGAAGTTTGATCAAGGAAGATAGTGGATCAAAAATGATTCACAAAACACAATGAAAGAAATCTTGAACTAAAGAAAGAGGCTTGCTTTATAGCGGTAAATACATTTTATTTTGTGACATAAAATAAAAGAAAACTTCTACTGTAAATGTATAATTTACAATAATTTATAAGGAAAATACACGCATGCTACATCTACATGATATCTGTAGATTATTTATAAGCAATTTAGATAAAAATGAGAAACAAAAAGAAAAAAAAAATACGAAAGAAAAATCATACAAACATAAATATACTTGTTTGACGAAATACGATTCGTATTATCGATAAGAATTGAGTAAATACACACGTTTACTCTAGAAAACGAAACGTAATTATCGAACTTATTGTTTACAGAGTAGAAATTTTCATTAGTGTCTAAAAATAATCCCTTAGAAAATTACTTGATGTTATATCGTTAAAAATTATTTAATAATAATGTTTCATACTATTTACGAGACTATAATAAAACGACACGACTCATCATCACGCTTATTCAATAATTATTAAACTATTCATTTGTATCTGTCATTTGCTTGTATGAAAATGAAATCCGGTATGCATTTTTACTACTACATTATATAATCGTAGGAAAATAAAAGAAACATCTGTGCCAAGCCGTAACTTTATCTTCTATGCCTGTCCCTCGATCTGTCCCTGTAGGACACAATACAAAATGGCATTAGTTTAATCATACAATTTAAACCTTATGTACTTATCGGATACCATCGCTTTGCTTGTTCTTACGACAATTTTTTCAAAATGAATCAATAGCGAGAAACAAAATAAAAAATGCAAATAAATACGAAGATAAAAATAAAGGTTTGGAAAAGGTAGACATCTCTACGGTCGATGCAGTGGTCTTACAAAATTTGGCTTGGTGCTCTGTAAAATCTGTTGCTACGAGGGTGTTCACCTTAACACCTACCTTGTAATACGACGTCTATCTAAGAAACTAGGTGAACCATGACGTCGTGGTATCGACGGAGAACGTGACCTACTCGAGGCTGAACTGCTGGAGGTTGAACGAGAAGATCTGCTAGAAACACTGCTTGATGATCTCGATGAGCTAGAGAAACTTCTACGACTATGCCTTGAACTGTGAACAGGAACAATAAATATTACTACAATAACCATAACATGTTACTAATTATTATTAAAATATAATTTACCTTAAAGAAGAACGTGAACTGCTTCTAGAGCGACTTCTCTTTTCTTTATCCCGTGATATCCTAGACAATGACCGTGATCGGCTCCTCGACTTCTTCGACAATGACCGACTTCTAGATTTCTTCGACAACGACCGACTTCGTGATTTCTTCGACAACGACCTACTCCTCGACTTTTTCGACAACGAACGACTCCTGGACCTTTTCGATAACGACCTGGTCCTACTTCTGGACCTTGACTTCTCTGGAGAACGAGAAGGGGACTTTTTCGAACGCGAGGCCGACCTCGAACGGGAGTGTTTCGACTCCGAAGAAGACCTCGATCTGGTTAATCTCTTTGATCTTGTCGGTGATTTTGGTGATTTCTTGGATCTCGAAGGTGAGACAGAAGATTTATGCCTAGGAGATACAGACTTCTTGCTTCTCGATGGGGAACGTGATTTCTTCTCTCTGGAGACTGACCTCGATCGATGTCTAGGCGATCTGGGAGACCTTTTCTCCGCAGACGTCGACCTTGTGTGCACTCTGGAAGGCGATCTAGAATAGGATTTATCTCTTGAAGAATGTTTCTTGGAAACAGGTGAATTCTTCTTTGAAGTGGATGGAGATGCAGATCCTTGCTTAGACTTGCTCACGTTGTTCGATAGAGGAGGAGGCGGTGATTCGCTCGGAGAACGCAGTTTTATCGTTGCATCTTTGTCAGCTATTGCCGGAGGTGGCGAGTGCGGTGGTGATTTGCCTTGCGACGAACATTTCCACGAACCGTACAACCATAACGCTAAAATAAGCGGAGACTTTTTCTTAGGAGTACTCGGTGATGATTCCTGATGATTCGTTTCGGCTGCCACACTCGGAGACCTTGAGGCTACTTTATTCGACACCTGGGACATGGGAGGAGGTGATTCACTAGGGGACCGTATTTTTATAGCTGCCTCTTCTCGTGTTAACGGTAACGCGGGTGACGGTGATCTGCTCGACACTGGAGACTGAATAGCAGGTAGGTGAGACGACACAGGTGATTTTGACTTAGACTTTTCTTCAGCAGGACCAATTGTGTTTTGTACCATTTTCGGTGGTTCATTTGGTAAAGCTATATCAAGGATATTGTCTTCTTTCTTCTCTTCCTTAACTTTAATAGGATTTATTGCCTTCTTACCAATGGATTCTCGAGCCTTCGCGGCTAATCCACTCTGTAAACGTTTCAAAGTGTGTAACTCTTTCATCTTCTCTTCGTCTTCAGGTTTCGGCTCGTCGTCCGCCATGTCGGTTTCATCCTCGCTAGAAGATCGTAGCCTGACCCTGGGAGTAATTGTTCTCAATTTTCTCGTTCTAGAGCTAGAGCGAGACTTTCGTTTACTACTATCGCGATTCTTCTTCTCGTCACGCTTCTTCTTCTCCTCCGATATCTGCTTATACCGTTCTGGATTCTTTCTTACCGGAGAATAGCTCAAGGTGGATCGTCTAGATCTACTCCTAGTCCTGCTGCGACTTCTACGACGTTCTCTAGATCTTTCTCGTCTGTCCCTTTGCCTTCTGGGTGATCTTGATCTCCTTCGCGAATCCGATCTACGACGCCAGGGAACGGGTGATGGTCTGCGTCGTGACCCGTAACGATCGTACCTTGACCGACTCCTGCTTCTGGATACAGAGTATCTGTTATACC